CCCCGATTAAACATCAGCAGCAATCCTTCCTAGAAGTTATTTACAAACAATACAGTAAGAGGCCAAATATATTTCTTCCATTTTTCAACATCTGAATCTAGACACCAAGCAAAAAGTATAAGAAAATTAATCATTTGCAAAATCCCATAGAAACTCATCAGGCTAACACCCCTCCCCCAACAAAGCAAACAAAATAGTACATAAAAGCAAATGTGGTACTGCAGCTGTGAGTCAGCATGATACTAACCCATATTTTTCGGAGAATAAACTAGAACAGTAGTAACTCCCCCCAATATAAAAATTTAACAATCATAAAGATAACACCAGAATATCAACTAGCAACCAGCCATAGCACATCAACCAACCTGCAGGAGCTCCTTCTCACACTGCTTTTTCAGAGACCGGTAGCGTTTCTCATCCCCAGAGGACAGCTCACCAGTTTCATCCTTCAGCTGCTGTAGCTTGTTCAGTTCAGGCACACTGAAAAAGGAATATAAAAAAACAGACTTTACACTACAGTTTGTTACTTTCACCAATTGAAGTCACATATTCAAAGCAGGAGGTGAAGGGCAAAGACTTGAGAAAGGCCAAAAATGCTAACCTACTAAACATTATGACACCATTGTTCCTAATAAGATGTAAAGTTTTTATCATCTCAGATCCAAACAAAACACAACACATGAAATACTTTTTACAAAACGCACCATTCTTTTATACTTGGTTCAACATTGGAAGCAACAGTTTCATGAACAAGAATATTTTTGTATAAGAGAACTGAATGCACTTCCGCTGTCACACCAGTGGATCTCACTTCTGTTATAGAGAAAAGCACAGGATTTCAGAATATAACTTAAAGACCATGAACTGAGGAAACAAACTCTAAACATTACAGCCTTCTTCACTGATGAGAGAAAAATGGCCACAGAAGATAAAACCTCAAGACTTGTCACAAAGAAAAATTATTACAAGACAATAAAAATCCCAGCTCCGCACACCATATACACATAATAATAATAATAATGAAGATCATTTCTATAGGGCCCACTCCCGTGTAAACACAGCTCTAGGCACTTTACATAAATGCATGTACGAAGAATATTCACGCATGTACACACACACACACTCACTCACTCACACATGTGCACACATACGCACGCCAAACACACACACACCCACATCTACTTGCTTATCACACGTGCACACTTACACATCATTACGAAATGAGCACATACAAATACATAATAAAATAATATACACAACGAAATTCGCAAAATACATAATCATTTACATAACATTGTACTGAACATGAATTTACTGACATAAAAATGATGTCATTAAATATGTCTTTAAAGATATTTAAAATTTTGACTCAGATGTTGTATGCCTCAAGGGTTGGGGAAGAGATAATGATGTCTTACCTATCCATGCTGCGGATCTGGTTGTGAAGGGCCAGAAAACTGACAGGCGAGTCAATGGCTTCTCTCGACTTTGCACACAAGCGAACAACCTGAAAAGGGAATTGTGTTCTCCAGTCAGTGCATGTCACTAAGTATATGCATTGTAAGTCAGTCAGATCAAAAATTAAACCAGCTTTCTGGAGCTTTGGGGTTTTTTTAGAACATTTTAAGGGTGTTGTAACATTTGCTTGTTTTTCATAGCTGTAACAACAGTGAGTTATCATATGACCAATAACAACCCTGTATCAAAGCAACGGAAACAGTTTACAATACACGACTAGCAACATCTGTCTTTGCTCCGAGACTTCATGCATTTTGTTCAGTTGTGCATGACAGACATCTCAATCAAGCTGATCATTTTTTAGACATTTTCAGACATATATCAATGTTCTTCTTTCACTTTGCAAGAGTTTTCTTATAATGAATAGCAACACCTGCCTATCAAATGTCCTGAACTTGCAGACAACACTACCCTTGCCTAGGTAGAGGTCCTCAAGCATATACTAGAAATGACAGGAAAAATCTATTAGTGTCACCATGTATCTTAAAAGTTCACCCTTGCCAAGAGAACGCACAGCTCCATATTTGTCCAACTTACCTTCAATCCTGTCTTGTGGATTTTTTCTGTCAGCTGATCAACAGCAATGTTCGAGGGTGCACAAACCAGCACAGCTCCGTTGTTTTGTTTCACCATGTGATAGACAATAGTGGCTGATGTGACAGTCTTGCCAGTGCCAGGTGGTCCCTGCCCAGATAAAAAGTGTTGTAGCATGTAGCAAAGTCAGCAAGTTAACTGCATTATTTGCCAAAAAAAAAAAACCCAGGTAAATTGTACAACTAAAAGGAAGGACAAGGAGCATACCGCATCAGAAAGTCAATGACTACCTGCATTGTCTAAATACACAATTAGATTACTACGAGTGACAATAAGAGCCATTATGTACTTTGTCAAAAATATATACCAAACAATGGCAAAGAGAGAGGACGAATATTTAACAGTCAGTCCACACAATAGCAGTCATATTACACCAATTACAGAACAAGACAATTAAAAGAAGGCAGAACATACAGGTTACACCAGCATAACTTTCATATTATTTGAGAGCTGGGTGTACTTTTCTTTTATTACCATTGTAGTAAGTATAGTTTGCGACTACACCAACAGTACCTGAATCAGACTCAAAGGTCTCTGCAGGACAGTCTTCACGGCATACACCTGGGAGTGGTTAAGCTCTGGCAAGCCAGGGGCAGAAAACCGCTTCGGCAAGGTGCACTTGAGGGCAATGTCCTCCACCTCGTGGCCAAGGAGCTTGTGGTAGATGTAGCCCCATACAGAGGTCTCGTCCACAGCAAATGTTTTCAGGGCAGACTGCATTCTGTTGAGAAACCAAGACCATATCTTTGCGTTACACAATAACAACGCTACCCATACCACATGTGGTCTGTCAAGTGCAAGATACTGTGTATTAGGAAAATGCTATAATTTATTTTTTTAAAACATGGAGCAAATTATACCATTTTCTTTATCCGACTGAAACCTAGGAAGAACGCTCAGAGACAAAAAACCTGTTATCCAGATAAAGGGGCCTTTATGACAAAATTCTCTCTAAATTGTTGGAATTTTTACCCCTGTGCGAGAGGCGGCTCTACACATAACTGCCACTCAGGAATTTTAAAAAAGGAGGAAATTCACACAAAGGCGTATGCGCGCTCTCTGAAGGCCGGAGTAAAACCAGTGAGTTTCAGAGGCAATATATTAGAACATCTAGCCTATGGTTTTGGAAGGGAAAAGTGTCATATTTGTTAACCATAGGCTGTTGAATTAAAATTAAAATGTATTTGAAAAAAAAAAACTCAAAAAAACCAAGACAAGCTGACTAACAAGCATTTGACACAGTTTGGTTACTAAAAAGCCAGTGTTTGTTGCCAGCTGGTGTCTCATAAAAAGTTTTCTTTCACTTTAAACTGGTGCATCGATGAAGAGCAGCATTGGATCAAGGAGGCCACACTTTTGCCACTGCCACTGTACTGGGCGATTTCTTTATCACACCAAACGCAAAGTGCAGCAAGAGGCTTGTTCAATTTTCTACTGAGCTTTTCAAGTCGCACACCGTCTGCTTCTTTCTCATTCCAGCTCTTCTTATTTTTGCATTCTGCATCAATTTCTCTCGAATTTCCGTCGTTTTCAATGACAACTCGACGTGCCCACGTCCCAATGCTCGATCGACACTGTTGCTCCACAATAAACAATGTGAAACTAGCGCTTGGCAGGTACAGAACAGAAGTAGAAAGCTTTGGGCGGACATGCACAAGCCGCGTTTCCGTATCTTTCCCGGTTCTGTGTTTTCTGTGTGAAAAAAAAAAGTATCGCAATTTGCGACCGAGAACGGTCCAGCAGAGGAAGGAGGAAAGAAGCGGGAAAAGCTAGGTTAGCGAGAGAAAAAAGCGGCAGCTATGTCTACAGGAAGATAACCACAAGTGTTTTAGTTTTTAGGTTTTACGGCCCTCGCAACTGCATAAGGTCATATGAGCGCCAGAAAATTAGAGGTGTTACAAGAGAGTAACAAACATAAAAAAGAAGGAGAGGAGATAAGGACAATAGATGTTTGATAGGAAAGAAGAAGCAAACCACACTAGAGCACCCGCCAACAGGCCTGCCTAGTTCACTTTTCCTGAATTAGGGACTCCTAGAGCCAAAAACAGGGACATTTGACCCAAAAGAGGGACTGGACAAAACGTAACTCTTCTGAGTCTTTTGGCGGCTTTCTTGGACTTGTTTTCTTCTCTCACCACGGCCTCATTTTCACTCCCGGAATGTTCACTTAATTCACTGGTCATGGACGCTTTCTTCTTTTTATTACCGGTATATCCACTAGCAGCACGCTTCATTATGAATATCAATCCCTCTAAACGTCGAAAATAATAAAAAAATTAGCAGAAAAGCACAAATAATCTTGGTCTAGATCTTAGGAAAGCTGGTCGTTGATGCGTCGCACGCGGCCCAAATCACAAAGATGCTATGCTGTATGATGAAGTGAAGATAGAAAGTCAGATACAGAAACAATATTGATGTCGAATCTAAAAAGACCCAAAAAAAGTCTAGACCAAATCGAAAAACAACGTGTCGCCAAAAAAGAATAGCGTGGAAGGCCAAATTTGTCCCAAGTTGGCTATCCGCACTCTTCTGGCAACTCAACAGGAAGCATGGTTTATTGATTTTTTCGGCGAAATAAAAACTATGCTCCATCCGCCGCACCGAAACGAAATAATTACAGGATAATTTTGCAGCCATCTTGAGATCGGCGGAAACCGGGACGAGGCGTAGCAAAAACGGGACACCGGGACAAGGCCTCGAAATCGGTGAAAAAAACGGGGCATCCCGGGAAAACCGGGACAAATAGGCAGGCTTGCGCCAACCACCTACAACCACAAGTGTAACGAGAGAAAAAATCCACAAACAAAACTAAAGGAAAAGAGGACATGCAGAATTTAACAATAGAGGAGACCCCTGAATCATCAAAAAGTAGCAAATAAAAAAAATAATCAGCGTACTCGTTATCATTCTAGAAAAGTTTTCAACAAATACCCAGCAAGCAAACTGTCACTCCAGAAGCTGAGGTACAATTTGAGACGAATTATTATCCTAATGCTACATTTCCCAAGGAATAAAAGGAAAATAAATGAAAAGACAATCTATGTCAGAGTGCTTATAAATAATAAACTAATCCCCATCATTTTCCTCTAAAATAGGAACTTTTTTTTTTAAGAGAAGGGGGGAAAAAATGGATACCTGTCAAATGAAGTTGATTTCCACACAAAATCCAGCATAAAATTGTGGGTACAGGTTTCAGGAACACCTGCATTGCTCTTCAGCTCAATGGCAATTTCATCACTGTGATCTTAAGAAAACGGTTAAGGAAAAAACAAAACAAAACAAACAAACAAACAAAAACCCCAAGAGTCTAAACCTTTAAGAAAAAAACAAACAAATGAAGCACAACACTTGGATCCAAAACATCAGTCAGAAACTGGACTGGGCAACCACTGATGCCCGCAGCAAAACTAAATATCAAAACTTAGGCATTACTTCTTCCGCTCGCCCAAGCCCTTGCCTATCTTTGAAGTTTATGGATAAGTTAGGTACAACAATATACATGAAAAATTTACATGTTGAAGTACACCAAATTTTAAAAAACAGGAAGCTTATCACGTCTACAATATACCTGTTGACAAAAGCTTGGTTACAGGTTATTAAATTCTGGGACAAAAAGCAGAGAAAGGATACTGTCTGGAATCTTGATGACATGACCAACACCAGACCAAGGTTTCTGCAGCTCTCCAACATAACGCAGTTTCAATTCATCACCGTGCATCAGCTTCATCTCTGAGGGACAACACAATAGAAACCAATTTAGGCAGCTGTCACCACAATAATTTAAATCTGTATACTTACTAGTAACTGAAAACTGCAACTTAAATAGACCCCTCCCCAAAAAAGCATCTGGCCTTCATTGTGAATTTAAAAGCAATGGCTTCTCTTTCTTCCTTACATATATGGTGGTCTCCGCCTAAGATCCACGTGCTCAGGAGTAATGAAAATGTGGGATCTTAGCACACCAAGGGAAGAATCGACAGCTACCCATGTTAATGCCCACAAGCGGTAAAATGGTCTCTTCACTCTAAAATGAACTGACATATGGCAAGCAAAGAGCAATCAACCTTGATGACCAATCACAGTTTCACAAATTCCGGAGTAAAAACAACTGTTGCAATGGTCAGGGAAGAGTTAACAGTTTGATGTGATCCCGCCTGGAGCAAACTTGTTGGTCCTACCCACCCAGCGTGTGATGTAAGTTTATGAGTGTGAACCAGTCTAGGGAAAACATTGTACCATTTCATTGAGATTTAAAACGCTCATGTGGTCACATTCACGAGAGTCGCTGATCAGTGACACTATATGCAGTTCAATGATCTCAACTTTTTACTCTTGGTTGATCGGTTGAGCCCGTCAGAGTTTTTGTTCTGTAAATTATGATCTGAAAGGCAGGATCTTGGCTGAATGTGTAGACTTTCAGAGTGAACCAGAGCAGGATCTTTGGGGTGACTTTTGAGGAGTAGAAATTCTGTTTTCTTACAACAGTGGGATCTTAAGGGTGGGATCGTAGGCTGAGACAACAGTACTCCTTAATTCATACCCTTAAATTTTTTACAACACAGCCAATCATGAAACCAGCATAAAAAGTGTACAAAATCTGAAAAACAAGGTTCACACTACAAATTTTCTTTAAATTCTCACCATCATTAGCTTTTGAAAGGCAGAAGTAAGCAATCCTTTTCTTGTTTAGTCCCACATCCCATCTCACAACAATATTGTCCTGGGTCTGTGACTCTTTCAGTCTCTTGTCATAATCAGCCTCCAGTTTCACAAGGGGTCCAAAAATGTTCTGATACTGATAGGCATCATCATATCTGAAAGTTTCATAAAAACACAGTAAAAGTAAAAGACATCAGAATACAACATATGTCTGAAAAGTTTCTAAAAACAGTAAATCCATTAATATAAAAAAGCATAACGGTCCAGGCACACTCATGGGTCTCAACTCATAATTTTTAAAAAGGAGGAACTTTCCGCGTGATCGCGACAGAAGCCCATTTTCGCGAGACACCCACTATTATTATACCGTTAGACTAGAATGTTGAAATAAAAACCATCAATTTATCAAAGCAAGGTTATTTCATACCAGTTTGAGGGTTTGGAAGACAATTTCAAGTAAGAGTCACTTACCAAATATTTACAATCTTGATTACGTACAGAAAGTGGAGGCGCACTGTGGTCTTGTGCGACTTATATTTTATCTTCATCATATTCGCCTGCATATAAACTATATAAAATGAATCTTGTTTTGAGCCTGGGAAAAGGCCCAGAACCAGAATATCGACTGTCATGAACCAGTCTGGGTGTAATGATTCATATAATAAACGTGAAAGACAAAATTAATGCTCAAACTGAAAGTAGAGTAATAACTTGAATAGCTCAAGTAAACCTATTCAGTGTGAGAGGAGTAAGAACTGTGGGAGGGCAACATGTCAATCTGCGAATAAAAGTTAAAATATAGAGACATAATTTACTGTCACCCATCCAATGAAACGCGAACACTTAGGCCCCTGCCATAAATTCATTAACACGCTTACAAGTAGTTATGACGGATCCCGATTATACGCAAGGCATGCACTAACGCGCACTTTGCATTTGCAGAGAGCTGTAGTGGTAATCAAAATTCTAAATATTAAAATTTGCTTCCAATTTCTTTTTTTTGTCCTCTGGTGTTGCGTCCAGCCCTCCCCCCATCCTCGAATGTATCTTTTTTAAAAAATCAATAATCTCCCCCCATTCCTGAGTCCTGTACTTCACAGCGCTCAGAACGCGTGCAGGTTCATTGACCGGTCACAATGATGAGCCCGACAAGACGCTTGTATAACTTTCTTTTCTTTTTCTTTTTTGGCCCCCACAAACGACAGCACAGTGAAGAACATTATTTTCATGGCGACACCACGTTTGTAATGCAGAACCTGCATGTTACAAATGTTGCGTATTCAAACTTTTACAGACAAATTTCTGAGATCTTGATTTTCCGGTCGAGCCTCGGTGTCACATACAATTCCGCTTCCCGCCATAGCCGCCAGTTCGCGTGAAACGTACTCTCAGACAGGGAAAAGCCGAATTAATATCACAATCGCGACCGGCAAAAATGAACTTAAAGACATTATCAGATTTGGTTTTCAAATAATATTTGAGATCTTTTATGTATTTTCCCATGTCTCGGCGATTTTTTTCAAATTCCCGAGGTCTGGCAGTCACTCTGCTCCCAGCAACCTTCTGATTGACCCGCTGTCGCGGTAGCGGAATTAAGCGGAGGAAATGGCAGTAGCAGAAATCCGCTAAATAGCGGACTATTGAGACCCATGCACACTGCATAAGAGATCTTCAAGGACACACCAGAGGTCCACATCGAGACAGCGCTTTTCATGTGATTAAAAAAGGAACTTGCAAAGCAAATCAGGGTAGTCAAACTCCTGTGTTAGAAGCTAGAACATTTGTCATTTCATTTTGAACATTGCCATTTTTTATCATTGGGAAGTCTTTGGTTAATATCATAAGAGTATAATTTGTAATGGTGATTCTTGTCAAACAAAACAAGTTTATCTTTAATCAAAACAGCTGCCCCACACAAGCATTTCCTTCATGTTGAAGTAGTGACTGATGAGATCCTGCAAAATGGTTCTAAATACGAAGAAGAAATTTCAAATAAAATACATTCACCACGCAAGAGTGTAAGTAAGCTTATAAGTAACTGTCTTTGTATACCAGTCTGCAGCATAAGACAAACAAAATGAGAGGGAAATATCCAACCTCAGTTGCACTTGAGTAGGTTCTTCGTCCAATCCAGTCCGTTCTAGATCTTCTAATTTGGCATCTGGGTTGTCCTTCAAACAAAACAACAACAAAAACAATTTAAAAATCATCAAAACTACTGCCATTTCAAAATAATGCAGACACACTATCATTTGTTAACAATTCATTTAAGCAGTACATGCTTAAAATACAGGTTAATATGAACTTATTTAAATAACTTGCGAGTTTCTGACTGAAATAAACAACAAGATTAGACTTCGACAGAAATCGTTCTTACATTTTTGTATAGATGTCAGTCCATATATCACAACCCCTGAGTTTTTAGTTGGTTCTCATGTTTTTGAGATCATATTCCTATTTTTTTTAAACAAATAGAAGAGCCAGCGTATTATTAATATCCAAAGGCAAAACTAACATACCCCCTTGAAGAAATAACAAAACTTGCATAGCTTAAAAGAGCTGCCTTTTGTTTCATTGCCACCATTTTCAACTTCATATACAAAAATACATCACATAATTGAAACACAAAAAGAACATTCTACAACTTAGCAACAAACAAAAAGGCAAAAGCTCAATAGCTACAGAATCGATAACAAAAACATCAGAAATAAAGCAGAACGTTGAGTGACAGTACCTTCCAGAGTTCCTCCAACTTGTTGATCTGCTGAGCAGTGATCTGACGACCACGAAGCTGCTCTTGTTCACTGGGTACTTTCACCAGCCATGACAGGAAACTCCGATCATTGATCAGCGGCAGCCACTGACTGGGATCCCTGATAGATTGAGGACAAAGTTTTCATTTTCACTTGCATCTGATTGCACTTTTCAGTTTTGCAAATAAAAGTACATTTGTCCACTGTCACATTAGTCACTGTACAAATAAACCTATTTTTTTCCTCTCAACTAGGCTAAAAAAATTGTTTCAGTAAGTGTTTTACGGCACTTGCAACACAATTAAGTCATATATGGTCACTTTTAAGCACAAGGGGGCTATCCCGAAAAATGCTGTTCCTGAGAAAATTGGTAAAGTTATACGGGCTGCCCACTACGGCTGGATCGGGCCGATCGCCCGACTCGATCGCCTGAAACTGAAAACACCTTTGCTTTTTGAGGCGATCGAGTCAGGCTATCCCTGTCGTAGTGGGCACCCCGTATACAGAGAAGGTAAAGTTTTTGCCCTTATTCAGTTTCTTTAAAAAACAAGGGGAGTTTTCTCTATAACCAAACAAATACACATATCAATGAAACCAAACTTCTTCCGGAAACCCCTGAAATCTGGGTTAGTCCGCTTGTCCTTAAAAGAAAGAAAAGTAGGAGAGATAAGGACAATAGATGTTTGATAGGAAAAAAGGAGCAAAGAAATTATCTTGATATGGGCGGTTTTCTAAACATGATTCCTTGTTGAGAGTATAAACTAAAATCAAATGAATGCCTATGAAAACAAAGACAGGTAGTAGGTGTATATTTCAACTCAATCAACATTATAACTCAGAAAATATTTTAACAAGTGTTTATACATTATCATGTATCTCAGAATATTTTACACAATAAGGTGCGAGCTGTATAGCCGCAGGACCAACGACAACAACATACCAAAACAACACATTCATAAGATTGAAGCAGTCCCTCTATCAGACACTCAAATCAGGAACATGACCAAAAAAACAAACAAACAAACAAAAATAATCTCTGAGATCATTACTCATCCACAAAGAGGTATCATTTACCAGTTCATGTCCTTCAAGTTGCTGAGGTTAGCACATGGATGGCGGCACAGCAAAACCACAACAGACTCAGCTTTGGCCGGAATGAAGCCAAGCAGGAAAACATTCCGGCAGCCACAGTTGTAGCATTCCAGCACTGTCTCTCCCAGAGGCCCATCCCTGTGCAGAGTCACCTCCTTTGTCTTTGCTCGTACCAGATGGTTGATGATATGACTGGCGAGAATTTTTTTTTTTTAAACAACACAGGTCTACCCCAAAACCTAGAAATTAAAACTTGCTCCTGTATCCTTAAAATTGAAATATCTGTACAAAATTCAAAACATGCATATATATTGAAACTAACTAGGAGTCCAAAAAAAAAATTGTTAATACTAAATATATAAAGGTTAAAATTAAAAAAGGACTCCATAAACAAAATTAGAAAGAAGATGATCACTTAGAATCTGTCTCTATATCGGGAAGGGGGGGGGGGTTACTTTCCTTGCAGTAATTTGGAAAACTTATGTTCAACTGCTGTGTGTCAGGAAATATAAAGCCAATATCCTATCTCATATCATATGTGTCAAGAAATGAATTATGAACTTCCCCTGTCAAGAAATTGATATTCTCACTAAAAGTCTTCAAGAAAACCTCCCTTTTTTCTCCATGTAAAAACGTAACCCATGGAAAACATGTTTCGTACGATAAACAAATTATGCATACTAGATGAAATTTAACACTTTACCATAATAAGGCTCATATAGTAGAAACCCTTGCCATCAAAGGCAATGGAATTTTGGGGAAAAACCAAAGAAACTGGGTGGTAAACATCGCCAATCGGCGAGATGTGACTGTAAAATGTTAAAAAAGGATGCTACAAACAAAAGAAAGTCTAGTTTTAGTAAGAGTTTAACGGCATTTGCAACACAATAAACAAAAAAAGAGTCTAGTTTTAGTGAGAGTTTAACGGCATTTGCAACACAATAAGGTCATATATAAAAGTGCCAAAAATTAGGTTTTTTATAGGAAAGAAGGAGCAAACCACACCAGAACACCCGCCAAACACCCACAAAAAAGTCTAATAATCCAAAACGTCGCTTGTAAAAACATGTATTTAAAAATTACAAGATAAAAATTAAACGATAAACATTTCCCCGAGCTTTGAAATAACTAGTCACAAACGCCTTACCTGCCAGAAGTGTTTCCTCTTCCATTACAAAACCACTTTTTACTTGCGTTGCAGTACACAACACAAGCTGGGTCATGGATGCCACAGTATCTGTAGAAGATAAAGAACAGATCTGTATCAGCACAGCACAAAAAAATGGTTTTCAAAGTCAAGCATATCATTTGAGCGAGTTTAAGTTTAAAAAAAGGGTGTCAGGAAGTTAAGTTTGGTAGATTTTTTACGGCGCTCGCAACTGCATAAGGTCATATGAGTGCAAAACAGGTAACAGAATTATTCAGAAGGGGAAGGGACAAGATCTTTTCTTCTACTTACGAGCAGGCATGCTTTGGCAAATCCTTCATGTAAAACTGGTTCTCCTCTGGTTCTTCTTCAAAATTCAGCTCGCCAACTCCTTGGGTAATGGTCGACACTGTGATGTCAACATCTCCATTTTCCACGATGTGATCAACACCATTCACCTTTTGATAAGAAATAAGATGAAAATTAAGAAAAAGTTATGTACTTCTCACAACAACTTGATAGCATCAAAAGATTTCCTCAGGCTGTGAGCCTAGAATCCAGATTCGAACCAAAAGGAAATACAGTAGTCTCCGCCTAAGATCCCACCGCTTACGATCCCGGTTCGCTTACGATCCCGGTTCGCTTACGATCCCGCTGTTTTAAGAAAACAGAATTTTTACTATACAAAAGTTACCCCTAAGATCCCGCTCTGATCCACTCTGAAGGTCTACATTCGGCTAAGATCCAGCATTTCAGATCATAATTTGCGGAACAAAAACCTAGACGGGACAGCCGATCAACCAAGAGTGAAAAGTTGAGATCAATAAACTGTCTGTCTCGTCGAAGATCAGCCACTATCGTGAATGTGATCAGATACATGTGTAAAACTCGATGAAGAGATAAATGTTTGCCCCAGACGGGATCACACCGGGGTGTGAACTGACCGACACGTTTCTTTTCCCCGAACATCGCACTCACACCTGAGCTCTCCCCCTAAACTTACATCACTCGCTGGGTGGGTAGGGCCCACACGTTCTCTCCAGGCAGGATCACATTGAACTGTGAACTCTTCCCTGACCATTGTAGAAGTTGTCTCTCCCAAATTTGCGAGACAGACTGAATTTTAATTGGTGTGTTCACAACGTAATGGTGTGTAACGACAAAGGCGGTTATGGGGGCTCGGTTAGATATGGAAAGCTATAAATTTTCGACAGGTAAGGGGGAGGGGCAACTGGATTTATAGCGTAGATATTGAGGCTAATGATAGGATAATAAAATAAGTGAAAATGGCGCGCCTCATCCCACTATGCACTGTGATAGGCCATCAAGGTTAACAACCCTTTGCTCACCATACGTCATAAACCCACCAAACGGTCACGTCAGTTCATTTTAGAGTAGAGGAAGACCATTTTGTCGATTGTGAGCCTTAGCATGGGTCACCATGATTCTTCCCTGGGTTCGTCGGTTAAGACCCTGGCTCGCCTAAGATCCCGCCATTTCCTTGCTCCCAAGCAACGGGATCTTAGGCGGAGACTACTGTACAACAATGTGGACACCGAGACTGACCAATGACCAGACAAGAGAGTTCCTCATTTCGCCTATCGTTCCACTCCACCACTGATCTACTCTTTTCTCTCTAGTCTTTTACGCAATTTATCAACTAAAACTTAAATTTAGAGCCTCCACAAGAGCTTACTGTGCAGACACTATTCTATATTTCAATTCATAGTTACACTGATCGCAAATTCTCTACTTCATTGAATAAAAGGTGACCTATACTAATAAAATTTGCAATTTTTCTCAGCTCAATGAGTCCGACTTGAAATAAGCTGACTACATACAGTCAGAAATTATTTCACAGATCATTTTCATAATACAGAGACGATTGTTACAGAGACACTGTTCAATAAAAATTTCTCCCCAAGCGGGAACCGAACTCAGACCTGTTTGCGACAGCGAAGCATTTGACCGCTACACCACCCACATTAGTCATTAGTGGGAAAAAACAGGATCACACAGAAAATGCAAACTATTGAATCCCACACTAGCTTAACCTTTTGACCCAACATGATCCATGCACCTGAGCTTGTAGAGGCAAACTCACCGACTCAACAGACACAATATCTCAAGCTGCCGAACGCTTTCGGAATTTTGAAAGAGTTAAAAGGTGATGAACTCTGAAGTGCACAGGACCATGTTGTAAGATTAATTATTAGGTGTATGCCTCTAACTCGAGAGGCTGTCACTGCAGCAAGTCTCTCTCAGAAAGCATACATGGAATCGCTGTGAAATCAGTTGCCCGTTAAAATAATTAAATCGAAGAAATCAGCATTTTTCCCTCTGATTGGACAAGTTTTATTGAATTTTTGTTTTTTCGCTCAACACCTTTCATGCACATTTATTGTGAATTTTACACCCAAAAAAAAAAAAAACCCATTATTAAAGGCACATAGAATGTAAGCTTGCAGTTTTCAAAAGAAATGTCAAACAATGGAAGCCCCAAACTTTTGCTGCTATTTTCACGTTAATTTCACCCCTGAAACTAGACGAAATCCACCTCCTTCAATCGCAGATATCTCTACATTCTTTTCAAGATAGATGGGTACTTTTTTCCCCAAAAAACAAGACAAACAAGCTTTAAGGTGACTACAATAACTCCATATGCCCAAAAATTGACAAGCCCCTGATTCCACCACTGTGTGACACACCATATCATTGTACCACACAAATCAAAAGAAATCAACATCAATGAAGATCAGCCTCAAGGTCACAATAATTAATACTTATGAGCACTGTGGTTGTTTTCTTGAGAGTAACAAGTTGCCACAAAACCAGCCGTCTAACTTTTAATGCTTTACTTTAGAAAAACTCTAAAATTTTATCTCTTCAAGCGTGCATGCATAGTCCATTACTGCGCTCATCCATTCACATGTAATACCTTTGTAGTTCTCCTAGTCGAACCTGCTCTAACAACCAGTGTAAAAGACATGGGTCCAAATAACCATCCATTTCTCCCCCCCCCCTCCAGATACTTTTGCAATAATTATAATGACTGTTCAAGAGGACCTCGTGTCTAAGATGACGACCACTTTTCCCTTTGACAAGGGTAGCTGCCTTTGACAGGTTCACATACGTAATCTTATTCAAAAGACATTAATAACTTCAAAAATCTGAAACTAATCAAGTTCGCTATTTCCCTACTTGTATTAACAGTAAGAAGTTTGTTAACTTTTTAAAAATAAATATCATGACGCAATGGAATCAGGCGCTCATCAATTAATTTTGAAACGTGGAATTATTGTGGTACCATCTGAAAGTTGATTTATTTTGCTTCCAATTAAATAAATTTCCCTGAGGTGGCCTGGTTTTCAGTGGGGAAATAAATGAGAAAATGGCCGCCAAAGTTTAGTAACTCCAATAGTTACAGAGTCTTTGAAAAAAGAAAAATGACATATTTTGTGCCTTTAATCAATGTTTTTCAGTAAAATTCAATTCATGGACATATATGTTTTTTTATGGACATAAAAGAGGACGAGCCCAAATATAAAAATTCAATACAAATTTCCAAACTGGCGGAAAAATGCCTGTTTATCCGATTTCTGTATTTTGACGTGAGCCTGATTTCTCCACGCTGCTTCACATATAAAAACAAAACTTACATTACATATTATAGCCTATTACCGGAAGTCCTTTTTCCGTTTTATAACGAAAAATCAAAATTTCAACCAAACATAAATTGTCCAAGACGGCCACCCATTCATTGTCAAGGCAAGTGACTGTCTGAGATACAACGATGTCTTGTTATTTATTTAGTAAAAGTTTTACTGCCCTCACAAGTGCATGGTCATATGAGCACTAAGGGGTGGATGTCAACAAAGAAAACTTTACAGGGAATCAGGCTCACTCCGCTCACCTTTCTAGCCTAAACAGCACAAAGCCTGTTTCGACTTTCAAGGCACCCCGGAAATAGTGGGTCACAAGAGTGTGACAAACACACAAAAGAAGTAGAGGAAAAATGACGATAGCAAGGATTAGGAAAGAAAAAGTAGCAGTTCCCTGAGCATAACATTGTTGAATAAGCCCATTTACAATTCTACTGTGCATAAGAATGAGAAATGTCCCCCCCCCCCCCCCCCCCTTTGGGAATAGCCTAAAGACACTTCAGTCGGTGGCGCCGCCCTGGGGGGGGGGGGGGGGGGACAAAGATGTCTTGGATAGTCATGATAATATTTCTTTAAAACGCAGTGTCGAAAGTGGGAAGCGGTTGTTCAGTACAGGGAAACAGTAAAAAATTTATGTGGAAATCAATTCCTTTCATTGCACACGATCATAACAAAGTAATTCTACCTCTGTCTAGATCTAGACCTAAGCCATATATTATAGTCTAGAAGAACCCGTATACTTTGTGACTTTGTTCCTGGTTACTGGGTCTGTATACATTCAAAGGCAAAAAACTATTCACTTGCTCTAGACTTGAGGTAGGCAACTCTGAACTTTACATGAAGCTATAGCGAGCACCTAGCACACCTCTGTGATTGGTCCAAATATAGATGACGTATTTCCGCCACCAATTTATTAATTATTGTTGGCCTTCCAGTGTTTCCCTCAAGACTCTTGGGTTTCCCTTGCCAGTTGACTAAATCTCTCTGTGTTTGTTTGAGAATAACATGGATATGGATATTATTCTCACCCGGTCTGAGAATGCAATATATATATAAAATCCTGACATTATGCACGCATACCTTCACCAAAACCCTAGATCTAGACAAGTATATATTAATTGGAAGAGGCTAGCCGTATTTTATGACGGCTAAAGTGCTGGGCTAGCGATACTTAAGTATGGCTAGACAGCTGGGCTAGCCGTACTTATTCTTAAAATCTTAATATGATGGCTAGACTGACCATAAAAAGGCCTACTGCATTGTCAATAAATGTAAATAGTTAGCAGTACCAAAAGTATTTGTATTTGAGACGAAACCAGGTGCCTTAATGACAGTGCATGTATTTAAAACCTCCTGTTTTCTAATGATAATACAGCCTAAGATAAGTACGGCTAGACTGGCAGCGTGGCAGGCTAGCCGTACTTAAGACTTCTTGGCTAGCCATACGGCTAGACGGCTGAATTGTAAATGAAATTTTTAGTTTGCAAAGCCTAAAGTATTTGTATTTCTTCAGACAAAACCAAAAGGTGCCTTACTGACTTGCATTATTTAAACCTGAATAACTACTACATCTATCTAGATCTAATGAGACCTGTTGTGTACTCAACAAGTTCGAGTCGATAGGGCCAAACCTAGATCTAAGTATGGCTAGCCACTTCGATATTAATTTCTAAATTCAGAAAGGAATTCCCTTTATAATCGTATGGCATAAAAAAAAATAATAGCTTAAACTGAAAGCTGTTTAATGAAATCATGTTAGTATGCCATTGTAATGTTAAATGTTAGAATTGGATTTGTTTACAACACATACATTTTACCCCTAACAGAACCCACAAAGGCAAGCAGTGCCTTGACCCTTGGATTATTTTTTCCTTGATTTTGATTGGTTAAACCAAGTAAAATTTTCCATTACAGAACCGATAATAGCAACTAAAGGTGACATTATATTTGCTCAAAAAGTAAGGTTTTCCCCCAGCTCGAGAGCTGGCCCACGATTTTAGTCGCCTCGCACACTCAGCGGAGTGAGGGAGAGAGGGAGGCAAGTGTTGTCGCCTGGAACGGAAACGAAAAACCCGGGTGAGACTAAAAATTAGGGAAGATCTACCCAAATGACGGAGAATGCCCGAAACGAAATTAAAAAGAAAAAAACGGATGAGAATACTAGTCTGTCATGTGAGAATAATCACAGAGTTATATACAATCTCAGCAATTCTCCTTCCCAATTTACCATCGTCAAAAAGTAGTACACACACACACGCAAGTGCGCGCACACACACACAGCCCATCCTCCCCCCCGGGTGAGAATTATCACAGTGATGTTGTAAACAATCTCAGCAATACTCCTTCCCAATTCACCATCTTCTAAAAGTTGTACACACGCGCGCGCGCGCGCGCTCACACACAGCCCAATTTCAGTCAGCATACGATCTAGATCTAGTGACGTAGCCCATTTGCGTGCTAAGCGGCAAAGCGGACCCACCACGGTGAGATCTAGATCTAGTCAACTGGCAAGGGAAGCCCCTGAAGACGACAAAAGTAGATGGCAGAAATACGTCATCTATACTTGGGCCAATCACAGAGGTGCAAGATCTAGATTTCTCGGTGCTTGCTGTAACTGTAGCTTCACGTGATTCGATCTAGAATCTAGTTCTGTGTGGATAGCCTACTTTGTAATGCGACTACACGCAGGGTGTAAACCGAGATACGATCGGCTGAACCTGTGACCCATGAATATCGACACGACACCCTCCCTGTCACACCAACCCCTCCTCTCTCTCTCTCTTTCCCAAGGTAGGGTAACAAACGAAAAAGTCCCCAATTTATAACATGTATTACAAGGCCACACTAGATTTAGATGCTCTTCTTTTATTTCTTCATCTTCTTCTCCTCCTGCTCCTCGTCCCCTTGCTTCTTCTTCTCCTCCCTCCCTCTCCTTCTAAGCCTTCTTCATCTCCTCCTCGTTCTTCTTTATTTCTTCTCCTCCCTCCCTCCTCATTCTTCCTTCTTTTCTTCTCTTCCATCTACACCTCGGATCCTCCTCCTCCTCCTTTTCATGAGCACTCAAACCGCTGTGAGAAGACAGCCAAAGGTGCGAGACCAAAACCGGGAATTCCTAGAGTATCCACAGGTTCAGCCAATCGTAGCCCGGTTTACACCCTACGTGTAGTCGCGTGTTACTTTGTTATTGCTGTGTGACATGTAGATCTAGATCTAAGATCTATGTACATATGTTGTCTGATCTATTTGTTTGTAAAATTGTTTGGTACTGGTTTTTCCCCTGTGCAGGGCAATCATGCAAGACAGATCTAGGTGAGTCAAGACTGACCAGTTTGTTTCTAGTCTCTACTGTACCAGTCAACCACTAGTTAAGATGAAAAACAAAGTTAAAAAATGATGTTAAAAAACAAAACTAAATTGATTTGGTTGTCTACAAAGATGCTACGGCTATTTAACTTTCCGCATCAAGCCGAACTACGCGGGTCGCCATTTTGTTTCGTTTGCCCGGAAGTTCTCGCGCTGCTCCTCTCTCTCTTTCTCTCCACTGCCCACAGCCACAGACAAAATTGCACGCTTTTAGGCTAACACTAACAGTAGTAATACTTATAGATCTAGAACGTTTGTTCACAGCACAGAATTCTATAATATAATTCTGTTATCACAGTGTAGAATTCTGGGCGCTTTTTCGGTAGTTCCCACCCCGCAATTGTTATTCACGGGTTTTGGCCCCAAGAGTAGGGGGGTTTCAGGGGGGCTTGCCCCCCTGACCTAACAAAAAGGCTGTCGTTATTCGGACTCGAGTCCGAATAACATTTTTTCGTATTCGGACTCGAGTCCGAATAGGAAAAAATGTTATTCGGACTCAGGTCCGGAAAAAAGGAAGTGTCTTCGTTCTATAGATCTAACGTTCAGTGCTTCCAATTTTCTGCCATTTTTTTAGTTTCCCCCACACCTTATCTGCCGATCCAATGCCCGCCGCCTCATTGATACGCCCCCCCCCCCCCCCCCCAACGTTTCCTACTTTCTTTGTTGTAGAAAAAGGTAAAATTGAAGATAAGCAGACCACCTGGCACCTGCATATTATGAGCTGTGTAAAAAAAAAAAGTCCGATTCGTTCAAATACACAAGCCTGTGTCATTCGATTGTTTACCAAGAAAAAGTTGTGTTGCTGTGTAGAGCTGAGCATACGGCAACTTTTGATTCCATAGACTAGCGCACAATTCATTACGTAGATCTACGTCAAGACTATCTTATTATTGTAATAATGATCAGTTGCCGGGGGGAAAAAGACTGACGCGTATGCGACGTTCAAAGCCCGGACCGATAGTGCCCCCCCCCCCACCACCCTCCCCGACACGCACACAGCCACACGTGTGCAGGCCGCCCATCCGACCCCGACACACGCTAACGAGCCATCTTTAATTGCTTCTGATGACCTCTTGACAAATAAACATTTATTAGAAGAGCTATACTATAACTTTTCAGGCCGGCCTCAAATTCATCATAAGATTAAAACTCGGCTCCTGCACAAAACGCCTTTTTGCCCGAAGTGATCCCGGTCTCTACCCAGCCTGAGGCGAGTCACGAGTGAGGCAGGACAGGAAGCCGGATTCACGAGTCACAGGAAGTCGGAAGTGATGTCATGCTGGACAAGAATCAAGAGTCTGAATATGTATATAAAATATAAATGTAAAATGAATTGATTTTTAAGGGCATCAAAACTATAAAGAATCTTAAAATATGGTAGATCTAATTATAATTTTTTAATATTGTATGCCAAAACGGCATGACATTCGAGTCCAAATAATCACTTCGTAACAAAAATAGGAAGGGGGGTTTCAGGGGGGCATGCCCTCCTGAATTTTACCACAATTTAATGTTTTGCTGTTGTTAGGTTTGATATCTTAGCTCACCGCGAATCAAATGTATAGATCTAGATCTAGAAGTAGGTCAGGCTCAAATAAGGGGGGTGGGAACTACCGAAAAAGCACCGAATTCTGTGGTTCAGGGTGAACGCCAAGGCAAACGGGTGAGAATAGCCAAAAGTGGCAAAAGACTCGCTTGCGCTATTCTCACCCAGGTGAGAATAGAGGTGGCCAAACATAAAACAGAAGGACTTCCGTAACGAGCGACCACCCCATCAAACACAATGAAGAAGAGGCCTAGAATCTAGACCTAACCCTACCCCTAGATCTACCCCAAGCCCAACAAGCCAAGCCCTCAATTCTACTGTCTCATAGTGGTCCCTCGTTACGGAAGTCCTCCCCATAAAACACTGATACCGACTATTTAAATCAGTATCGATATTTCAGTAGGCCTACACAAAAATCGGGACCACCATACCCAAGTAGTGCCCAAAGCTCAAAATGTTCAAAACCTTGAAAAACAAACTTACTTGACTCTGGCTCTGGCTGGCATTTGGCTCCAGATGAGACTGTTGAGTCTGTGACTGTGTTTGAGAAGGGATGGTAAAATCCGTAAACTCATACTCTGACCCTTGGGTATCGGCTCCTAACAAATCTGTCTCCTCAGTTTCCAAAAATGTGAGGGTTTGGGAGCTCGGCCCATATGCGTCGACACTCATGGTGTTGTATTTTGTGAGTGTCTTTGGGCTTGGCTAACAACAAGATGATACAATCGGCAAACCAACTTCAAACCTCAGGTGAAACGATAACGTTGATTCCGTGTAGTACCCGAAATAGAAGGCATAAAGTTATTTAAGCGCTCTACAGTGAGACAATGGCTGAGCGTCCACATTGATACACTTCCGAGTCGACAGAAGAATCAAACAAACTCCGTCATACAAATCACACGTTGGAACTGGTATCCTCAGCCACTTCCCCTACCAGGGTACACCGGACGTAGCCTACAAGTCTCCGAAGGCTCGAACTAGTAGGCTGACGTCATATGTCACGGCACGGAGAAACGACAAACCACAGGAAGTTGTTTCCTTTCACGTACGCATGGTTTGATGACGTCATTTTATACCTTTCTATCTCTACGTTTGCCGTTTTGGCATACAATATTAAAAAATTATAATTACCATATTTTAAGATTCTTTATAGTTTTGATGCCCTTAAAAATCAATTCATTTTACATTTATATTTTATTTAAGAATCATTTAAGATTCAGAATATAAAAATATAAGTCTATGTGTTTCATTCAAGGCAAATACATATTCGGTCTGCTTGCATACAATCATCACTCAGTACATGACATTGACAGCCAGCTCGCTGATATCAGAGCTGTCAGAGCTATAGATAGAAATCCCCAAGAAAAGAAAGAAAGAAAGAAAGGGAAAGAAACAAATGAAAGCACAGAATTCTAATTCTGTGAATGAAAGTAAGAAAGTATTTTTGGCGCTTGAAGTCACATGACAAGCGGTCGCAAATAACTGTCGTTTAGCGCAAGTAACGGCTGATGTACAAGACGAGTTAAAGATCAAGAGGCGAATGCTGCTGCGGAGTCATTCAACTTGTCACCACAACTGTACCAACTGGCGAACACTTAATCAAATAATATTATAATAGTGGATCTATGAAAGATATCATAATAACGGATAAAATACCCCTTCCCAATTAGGAAATGGGTAGAAAATAAAATGTGGGCTCTTGTTAATTCTTGAATGAGGTAGTAACACATTATTTAGATCGGCTCCAGGGCACGTTCTGCTTGTGTTTTATAGACATGTTCACACAAAAAATGCAAATTGAAAACACGGGAGAAAAATTTATAGGAATACAATGATACCATTTACAACTTTTGATAATAATTGATTAATACCGAAACCATTCTTCAATATCCCCCTCCCTCTACAAAATAACTGCGATAACACTTGTTAGGGTTTTGTTTTTGTTTTTGTTAGGGAGGGGTGCACGTGTTTTACGGGCGCTCGCGACTGCAGAAATTGCAGACGAAAGCAGACGACAGAATAACTTGGTTAGAGAGCAGATGAAAGAAGATTTTTTTTTAGAGAAGACAATTTTACGTCGCTGTCAGGTTTCGAACCCGGGACATTATTTTGAGTGAGTGAGAGGCGAACAACTTAACCTCTAAACCACGAGAGCTTCCTATTCGTCAGTGGGATTGTAAATGTCCGACGTCTGCATTAACGCTATATGTACATCATGTACATAATAATACGTACACTTAACAGGCTGGCCTCTTACAGCGCTGTTTGCCAGGGTCAACCGGGGCTGGGTGAAATAACAGCCCCCCCCCCCCCCCTGCAAAAAGACAGAGATATATGTATTGATTAAATAGTCTTAGTATAGTTTCTAAAGTAAGGTTTTGCGGCACTCGCAACTGCATAAGGTCATAATAAGCGCCACGGGGTGTGTCAACAGAGAAGTCTAAACGGGGAATCCGGCTTTCTCTGCTCACCTCTCTAGCCTCAACTGCACAAAGTCTGCTTCGACTATCAAGGCACCCCAGAAATAACAGTTCACAAGAGAGTGACAAACATACAAAAGAAGTAGAGGTAAAATGACGATAGTGAGGATGAAGAAAGAAAAAGCAGCAGTTCCCCCTACGTTCCGGCACAGCCTAGTATGAGCATGACATTGATAAACCAACTCATTTGCAATTCTACTGTGCACAAAAATACGTTAATACCCCCCTCCTTTTTGGGGGGAATGGTCTAAAGACACTTCAGACAGTCGCACTGCCCTTGTCTTGGTTGGGGGGGGGGGGGGGTAAATTTTAATGGTCTTTCCCACCTGCGGATGGAACATATACAGTTGTCTGCTCTGCCTAAGATCCCACCGCTTACATTCCCGGTTTGCTGCAGGTTCGGCTGCTTTAAGAAATCAAACTTTTATAATTTTTACTACATAAAAGGCACCCTCCCGCTCTGAAAGACTACATTCGGCTAAGATCCCGCATTTCGGACAAAAATTTACAGAACAAAACACGGGCGGGGGCAGCAAACATTTGCGACCGGTGTGCTGTCAAAGACATGGCGTTCTTTACTACGTTAGTAAAGTACGCTATGGTCAAATACCATCCACTTTCGTGAACGAGATCACATCTCTGTTGTAAATCTCAATGAGAGGGAACAAAGTTTGTCTCAAGCGGGATCACGCCGAGGTGTTAACCAAAACTATCTGGTGTAAACTAGTCGACGAGAATTTGTTTTCCTCAAACATCGCATTCGCATCTGAGTCTGAGCCCTCCATCTGAATTTACATCACTCGCTGGGAGGGTAGAGCTTAAAAGGCGGCATCACACGCGATCACATCGAACTTTTTAAAACTCGTCGGTATACTTTGTTTCTCTGATCATTGCAACAGAAAACTGCTGTTGTATGTCACCTCTACGCCCGAATTTGCTAGACAGACTGTCGTCACAACTCTGTGGTGCTATGAACTCGGTTAGAGATGGAAAACTGTTAATTTTGGACAGGTAAAGAAGAGGAGCAATAGGATCGACGCAGACCTTGAGGATCATTTTTTGGAATTTGGATTAGTGAAAATGGCTTGCTTCATGCTATTATTGGGATTGGTCGTCAAAGTTGACCGCTCTTTGCTCGCCATAAGTCATAAACTCTTTTTGTAACTCACCCAGGGATCATGACAGTTCATATCAGTAGGCCTAGGGGAGACCACATTACCAATAGCGGGCCTGACCATTAGTCACTGCGGACTCTCCCCTCTGTGCTTCGACTGGGATCTCGTTCGCCTAAGACCTGCATTTTTCTTGCTCCCAAGCACAGCAGGTCGAAGGCGAACTACAATAGGCTATATAATGGCTTTCCAAGCAATGGAGTGGGACGCCCCTTGCAATTTAAATTGTGTAAGAATGGGAAGTCCTTCAACAGCTACGCATAGTTAATTCCATCATCCTTTTACTTTTGTTACTTTACAATAGAATAGAATATATTACAATGGCCGAAAAAATTAGGGTGCGAGCAGCTAATGTAAGCACTGTTCTGAGTATGAACAAATATTGACCGTCGACTATATTATGTATTTCTTTTAAAAAAGTTTTAAACTGTAGGTGTTTTTACGACCCCATCGAAAGAATTTAGATAATTTAAGGGGCGGGCTTCCAACCCTGCCTATGAGGGTCAACCCGAGATGAGTGGAATATATCTCATCAGAGAGACAGAGATACATGTACTTAGGCTAATAAAAATAAAAATGTTCTCCCGACTACTCAGTCCTCCTGCATGCGACAGCAAAATGCCTAACCGCAATACCGCAGACACCAGTTTTGACAATATAGAAGCTCATTAACACGATGACAGTCACTTTTCTGGGGGGGGGGGGGGGGGGTCACGAGAGCCAGTGAAATGTCATTAACTTACTACTGTAAGATAATCAAACAAAAGCAATATTTCAGTATTGTTGCAGCATAATGGTTGTTTTTGTTTGTTTAGAGAGTGCATCTTTTACACCAATTTCTTTTCTTGACGCAGGGAGTCGTCAGAATGCTATCCTTGTTGAAGTGGAGACTGCCTGAAGGCTAGAGGTATCACCAAAGTAAAGCTTTGTTGTCCCAGCTAACTTGGGTTTGAGGGCCCGGGCCAAGAACACCCTGAACACCTTTTCTGGCTGCTCTGCACATAGTTGATGGTTTGAAGCACGAAGTTGATGGTATGAAGAATGAAGTTGATGGTATGAAACAAATGTGAGGTCAGGGACATCCCAGCTGCTGGTAGCTTGTAACCTAGCGCAACCTGCTGTATGCACTGCATCAGGGGACACACACTTTGTTGTTATGAAAGATCAGGGCAGATGAGACTCTATGAGCCCAAATGGCCACACGCTGGGGGGTTTCAGTGAACCACTTCAGTGGCTTTCGCTCTTGTCCATAGCAGCATTGTGCAAATATGCAATAGATGAAGTTCTAAGCATTCTTCCCGGGCGAAGCTTCCGTGGTAAGCAACTAGGGCTGATGGTAATAGACTGCTACATTGACCTAAATGCTACAGAGTGGGGCAACTGCCAAATTGGTGTTCTTGTGGTCCGGGCCCTCAAACCTAAGTTAGCTGGAACTGGGACTACAAGTTTCTAGTGGTACATGTACCTCTAGGCAGTCTGCCCAGAAATGAGGATAGCATTCTGACAACCCCCTGCACCAAGATACTAGTCTGATCATCTTGTCTTTATCTTACCATCAGAGACATTGTACCTAGGCGAGAGAGTGAGTCTGAGGTGCGCCACTTTTTCACTCTTAAGTCTAACCTTTGCACAAATAAAATATATACTTTCTCTATCCATTCTCTCCCTTGTCTTTGTCATCTACCCCCCCCCCCCAAAGCATATCTTTTCAGCAATGGGCAAGCGCCAGTGGCAGTGGGAGTACTGAACTGTTAACACAAGCCAAGACGTAAGACGGCCAGGAGCTTTGGTCGTTGCATCACCGAGTTGAGAGTAAGGTATGATTGGCAACATCCATGGTATCTCGGCAGCTCACCCCCACATGCAAAAAGCGCTATAAAAGGTGCCCTAAAGAAAGCTCACCTCATTTACCCAGAATATATGATCTGCAGGGACAGCAATGTGGTTGAAAAAATTTGCCTGCTTAATTAAGTTCATTACAATGGTTCGCCAATTTCATGAGAGTATGAAAAGCCAGTATCAAGAGCAATGGTGTTTAGTATATAGTAAGGTTTTACCGCGCTCGCAACTGCATAAGGTTATATGAGAGCGTGTGAAACACGGTTGCGTTTGTAAAAGTTCACTGTACGGTTTAATTTTGGTCAATATTTATATTTAAAAAGTTAAAATGACGTTTTGCTCTCACAGCCTTGCCTTTTTGTGCAATAATACTTCACACCCCCCCCCCAAAAAAAAAGAGAGCAAAAATGCTATTGCTAAAGACTCTTTTAAATTTCAAGCCCCTTATTCTTTTTCTTTTTAGTAAGAGATTTACGGCAGTTGCAACACAATAGGGTCATATAAGTAATAAGTGCTGAAGATCAGAGGTGTTACAGGAGAGTGACAAACACAAAAAAGAAGGAGAGATCAGGACGATAGATATTTGATAGGAAAGAAGGAGCAAACCACATCAGAGCACCCATCAACCACCCACTTATTCTTTTTGACTACCCTGATTTCACATGGTAAATATGTCAAAATGCAACCATATGCAGCAGAAAACTTACATGTGACACAGTGAGACACACTATGAAAAAAATGAAATACTATAGATCTACATGTAATAATATTTTACAGGAACATGGTCACTGTACTGAATAATATTGGGGAAAACGTGACATAAACATAATGTCATGCCTACCAAAGGGTTGAAAAAGTTCAGGGGGATGAGCACAGCCATTAACAAGTGAACACATACAAGAATAAAAATAAGGAAAACGGTTTTCTTTTAAAGAAGAGAGACTAATTTATTGTCATAGGAGCATGAGTTAACAGAGATATCCTTTACAGAATAAAACAGAAAAGAAAAATCTGTTAAGGTTATACAAAAAAGAATGGACCCAGAAAAAAAAATGTAATCCAAAAGCATTACTCACAGTACCAAAACTATGCCAAGAAAATATGTCATATTTCTTTGTATTAATTTCCATAGCTTACAGTACACAATCCAAAAAGGTTCCTCAAAAGTAAGCAACGCTTCAGGTTGGAACGTATTGCGGCCAATAACTCACAAGAAAGGACTCAAATGCTGTTAACAGTTATTTTATAAACATGGCGCACTTAACTTGAGGATATAAATAACATGAACTGCTTTAACTTTAGCAATGGGTATAGTTTCCCCATGTCTGTTTGAATCTTAATGCACAAAATGTGTACATTTACTTTTGGAATGGCTCCAAAAAAAAAAAAAGGTTAGTATTTATAGTCATGTGTACCAGCACCACCTTGTAAAATATCTGAGGACCTGAGCAATGATCTCTGCAAGGAAGAAAGAACAATGGTAGCTAAATATAGGTGATCTGCTGATTGCTCAAGATGAAGACATAATAGATGAGGAACAGAACAGTAATGAATATATATGGACATGAGCTGACATGGTTGCAACAGACTTGAAGCAGAAGAGAATAGAAGTTACTTGGAACCGTTAGCATCTACACACTTCGAGATGTGCTTCTTCAGGGGACGGAGCGCTTATGGGAATGCCCCTTGTGCAGTGATGTCGGTCCTTCACACAAGTAAACAAGTAAACAAGAATAGAAGTTTCTTCATTGAATTTCAAACAATTTAAAAATAAATCTGGTGAGAAATACTGAGTTGTTCTTATTTTTAAAATTAAAACAATAAAAAAAAACACATCACAATTTAGTCAAACCATGAAGGAAAAATGTTCCGTTCCCAACAAGATAAGTTGTCACACAAAAAGCAAGCATAGATTTTTTAAACAAAGAGCTCTCCCATGAACATCTACAATTTCAAGGAACTATTGGAGGGAGGGATGCGGTGAAACTCGGATACAACATCCTCGGATTCAACGAAAACTCCCAATTCATCGAAAGGAAAATTCCTTGTTTGTTTATTTAAATTCATGAAAATAAACAAAACAGCTTGATTATAACGTACATGTAAATGAGCAAACTTGGATTCAACATAGTCGCGATCAGCCTCTGCCGATGTAGCTTTGTACATTTTTATCCCCAACAATGAATCTTATCCCCTTTAGCCTCAGCTATTCTACGGGACTGTCTATCACCCTGCACTGTGGATCATTAGATCTACACATTTATGATTGCATATCACACGCTGCACATTATGACCGAGCCATCACAGACACACAGTCATCCAACTGATTAGACACCATCTTTCACACCAACTTAATGTGTTGTTGATGCGCGAGAGTGAGTATCTTAGCATATGCCACGGTTGAAAGAGGTCAAACGGGCAGTCAAGGCCAGCACATGTGTGGCTTTGTGAGTGTGTCTGCGGACGTGAGGGAAAAGAGAATGCAGATGTGTCAGTCATATTTTTCCCAGTTACTAAACAATGGTGAGCTAGGCTTAGATCTACATAATGAGTAGCATGCAAGTCTATGGAAGCACTCATAGTATATATGCTAAGCCTCACCGGCCTAGGACATGCACTGCAGTAAACTAATAAACAAAAGATCAAAATCTGCCTCATATGAAACGGGCATGCATTTGAACGAATCTGCCTTTTTAACAGTGCGCCCTCCAACCAAGTCCAGTGTGTTTTGCAGCATCACTTCAATTTTCGACGTTAGCCAGAGTCAAGAACATGTTAGGTACGGTGTAAAACATAAGAGAATGCCTCTCATTTGAAACAAAACTACATTTACATGTATACTGTAGCACTACAGCAATTTAGTTTTCAACGTTAATCAAGGACAAGTTTTGTATAGCAGTAAAGAGAAGAAGATAAATCTTGCTTGAAATCAAGCCTGACCCTACTCTTCAGGGGTTGTGTCAAAAAGCAACATGCAAGCACTTTTGGGAAACCATTGTTTGTTTTTTTCCCCCTTTACACTGTGACACATTCAAAACTGATGTTCCTCGTCCCTAACGTTAGCAATGTTAAAAATTTTCACTTTTGCTACTCTTTTTATGACGAACACTTGAATTCAACTACCTTGAAGGTTATCCCCGAGGACTTCGTAACAAGCGAGTTTCACTGCACCATTCCAACTCCAGTCTAGCACTTTACCTCAAAAACATTTTTAAAAATCAAACAATATCATGCCTGGCTTAAATCATCATCGTCATAAAGTAAAGTACCAGACCTGAAACAGACATAAGTGATCATGGTTTGCCATTCATTTCTCTGATCAGACGCTCAGAGAAAATATGATATTATCCCAGTCTTTATCAGTCATCCATCTAATAATGTATGCTTAAAATATACCCACCCAAAATAATTTGTTTAGCCACAATTTTAGAACAAGTACCCTTAGTGACTTAGTGTCTAAACTCAATCCTAGTGGTGATAAATGAAGGCACAAATGAAAAAATAATCACAAGACAAAAAAACCCACAAGAAAGCCAATCACCAGCATATAGCTCAATTGTCAAAAGCAAATGAACAACTTATTATGTTTTTCCAAAGGGACCCATGAAGCTTTTAGTAAAACCTCCCAATAATCCTGTATACTAAGCACTGGTAAAAAGCAAAGCTGTACTTAATTGTACTCACATGAACCAGTAAAAGTATTGAGAGGTACAGTATGTTTGTGTGAAACTCGTGCTTTTTCTAATGAGTACATGTGTGCACATGTGAGCTTGAACACACACATTTCTGCATGTAATTTCATGTGTATAAGCAAGCAATATTAATCAATCTAAAAAGCCATCTTCCAGTATTCAAGTTGAGATAGCAAATTCCATTCACAATACTCACTGAAAACTCTTAGGCTGGATGCCTTGTTTTCACCTCAATATTACACAGATTAAATTGGAAGTTTAACAGTTACAAGGAGGAGTAAGATCAGTTCCCCAAACTGATTAAATTAAATCAGTGTTGACCCATTAATTTTGGCAATGAAACTGAACAATCACATTTTGGCCAAGAGACCCTTTGAACAGCAATACAGTTGTAGAATTTTCAATACTCAGTTTTGGCCAACAAATTTTCTGAAATAACTTTTTCAGCTCCTAGAAGCATTGTTGGTAGAAACATAATAAAACGTAACCTCTTGATAAGAATAACAGCAATATTTCATCACTGAAGTGAAGATATTTCTTCTGACTTGATTTGTTCAAAGTAGCAAAACTAACTGATGCTAGAGATCCTCAACGTGTGTATAAATATCAATGCTAATCTATAGCTTTTTTAGTTTCTTGTGGCAGCATACAATCAAACCCTGTTATACTGACTACTTTGGGACGAGAATGAAGTTTGTGATACAGCGAGGCTGGCGGTATAATGGCTTCGAACAGATGTTCATCTTAACTAGTGGTTGACTGGTAAAGTAGAGACTAGAAACAAACTGTGGTCAGTCTTGACTCACCTAGATCTGTCTTGCATGATTGCCATGCACAGGGGAAAAACGAGTACCAAACAATTTTACAAACAGCTCCAGCTGAACTAAATGTAAATTCAAAACATGTAAATTCAAATTGAAAATGTCTGTCGGATCAGACATTAGGCTTTATGCTTCAAGGATCCTGCAGACGTGCAGTTTTTTGTGCCTGATACTTATTAGTCCCAGGGAAGTCTCAGACCTTTCACATAGACTTGAGTGTGAGTCCTCATAATATAGAAGCCTTTCAAGTGCCCACCAGTCTTTCAGTTATTGGACTGATATCATGCGATGCCAGATGTTTTGTTGACAGGTAGGGGTGGGGCATTTCCTTTGAAGTTTCTCGAGGCGACTTAAAAACTTCATTCTAAATTTTTTCCCTTCTCAATATAATTAACCAAAAACAGAGACGCGAGTGGGACAGCACAAAGTAAGTGTTGTGGGTAGAGTTTACCTCTGGCGGCCAATTCACTGGCAGTAATACATGGCAAATTAACATTATCAAACAGCTAGTGGATGGCAGTGTAGTGGTGCAACTACTATATTTATATAGGCGTTTCTTTTCGTACAAGGGCAAAACCAGGCCCGGTGGTAAACCAGGAGTCAGTATAACGAGGTTTGACTGTACTCTTACACTTCTAAACTCAAGTCAAAGAACAAAATGTGTAATCTCTCAAAACAAATTTTGATATTACTACTGATGCTCTAACAATTTGTCTTACAATACAAAAGTGTAAATTGCTTATTGAGGCCTTTCATACAATAACTAAATAGCTGCTCAATAAGTAAAAACCTACTCTGTTGTCAAGTGACAATCATCCCAAGCTGTCAAACGGTCCTTCTTTTCAATCATAATTTACAAGTTGGTATAACTTGTCCTTTTTTACACTAAGACAAAATATTTGTTTCACAAGAAATAAGACCAAATTGAACATGTTACGGACACAATGATCAAGGTACGGCATACCTAATGGGGAACTAGCTCAAATGAATGGTCACAATTAGCTCAGATGTATGCTTTGAGTTATTAGGACACCTCATATGTTAACTATTCAAAAACATCCCAAAACAAGGTGGAAAAAGAGGTTGTCACTATTAGTAGTACTGTAAGTAAAATGGACAGATTAAAATGGAAAGCTTTGATATTTAATTTAAAAATGGAAAGCTTTGATATTTAATTTAAAAAACTAAAATTATAAGTAAAAAAATACAAATATATTTGCTACAATAACCGTAAGTTTTCTCTTATAACCTTTACATAATTTTCAATATCAAGATACCAAAACTAGTCAAAACCTGTGAGAATAACAAAAATCTTAATAAATTGATTTACTTGTTTTATTGCTGCTCAGCTGCTGCACCTCAAACTTGTAACAGCTTCATGTACTGTGTTCAAGGTATGAACAGATGTATAAGTGCTGATCACTTACTCTAAGTGAAAAGACTAGCAAGGCATTATTACTTCTTTCTTTGTACAACAGTAGGCCTACGTGACAAGTGAAGAGATACATATATATATGCAAACATCAGAAAGCGAAACAAAACACCAAACTTGACACAATTTATACTCTTGATTATTTGTAACTGTTATCAATTAATGTTCTTTTTCTTCTAAAACATACTTTGACTTGTGCCCTCTTGCCAACCTTTACCAATGATCAGCTTCATATTCATCTGTGCATACAGTCAAAGCTGGCTACCTCTCAGTGCTGCTGGACACCCTGTGCTACACAAACTGTTGAGTTTGTCATTGAACACACGAAGTATTAATTCATTCAGCACTATGATGTTTTGGGAATGCTAAAAACAGTAGAGCAAGCCTATGCTCACACATGTAAGTTTACAAAAAAGAATATATAGGTAAGTATAGATGCATCCTTTTAACCCCAAGTTAGACTGGGAATAACGAGATGATAAAAAGGGGACCAAGACATCTCTGTTAAACTGTATCATGAAGTTTGAACATTTACGGAATAAATTAGAAAAAAGCCCCTCCACCATACTTAGGCTATTCACATCTATTTTTAGGACACCATGAACTTGAATGAATAGATCAAAACTCTCAGTATTGCAGACACAGGTTAACTACGACAAAAGCACTGAAATCACCTCACTTTGAAAGTTACGAGAACCATCAGCTGTTGAGTTCACAGGTGACAGCAGCAGCAATTCGATACAAACTCGTATCATTTGATAATTTTTTTTTTATAAATGACATCAGTGAGAAATTATACTCTTGGTTACAGCGCATGAAATCATCTGAAGGCATTTGCATCATCACCCAAAAGAGTGTGAGCAATAATATTGAACTAAGTGAAAACAAATTTTCAAAGGAAACAAACAAAAATAAATTAAAAAATATACATAACAATACTGAGCACAAGTGCAGATGTGATAGGACCTGGAAGAGGCTTATGCACTTTTGTACAATGATATTTGATGAAAAAGACAGAAATTCAGTTTAATAAAGAAGTGGCGGTTTAAAAAGTTATAATTATACAAATCCACAGGCATACAAATATTTCTGTAAAGTTCAATGCATTTATTATAAATTTGCATATTGTAGAATAATAGAATAATAACAGCATTTGAACATTTTCTTCCAACTGACACAAATCTCATGCACATTTCTATTGTGCTATTTGTCTTTAAAAAAAGGAGAGGGTTATTTGAATTAAATTAACTTGAATCAAACATTATATTAATATAATTTAAGCCCTGCCTTATAATGCTCTTGTTAGGTGAATCAAAATAAGGAAAAGTGTTTTACAACTGAAGAGTATGAAGAGCAGGGAGGTGGGCATAGATTCGACTAACTCTCTCAACTTAAGAGCGTAAAACTTGACTAGCTGCAAGTTTTGCCACAGTATTTTGACAGTTTAAAAATAGTTCTAAAAAGACTATTACAGTACAGTACAACAGAGGCTGGTGATTTGATGTAACAGCCATATAATTCACCAAACATCATAAGTTAATGTGACACTGTCTGTGGTTTTTAAATGGCATCGACCAGTCATTCTACCTCAAGAGAGAAGCCACAAAATGTGTGGCAGTGCGAGATAACCTGTCCCAACGTCCCTGAGTAAATTTCTCAGAAATGAATAAAACACTTGTGCAGTGTTCATAAAGAAGGAGAGCATGTATGGTTTATTAAGACTACAAAGTTTCATCCAGAGAAAAAATTTTTGTTGAGAAGTTACAATAAATGTTAATCAATTGGTTCATGAAAAAAAAAAAAGAAATCCTTAAATGCAGTTAGACAATCCCAATCCTAAAACATGCTTTAATTTAAACATGGAACTGGAAATAACGAAATTAAATGATAAAAATGGGACCGAGACATCTATGTTAAACCTTAACATGAAATATGAAACAAATAGTGTTAAACGTTTTTAGCAATGCCAGACATCAAGCAAGGACATACTGTACTGTTCAGCTACTGGTGTGAACACTTGTGCAGGAGAGAAGACATAGTAGATGTTGCAGTATTGAGATGGGGAGGAGCAAGACTATCATACGGAATAGAGTGCTCCATATTAGACTATTAGTTTTACATGATACTATCAAACATTTCTCAAAATCAGACTAAAAATGCAACTTACATCAAAGAAATTCTCTAATGAGCAATGCTGCCATACTTTTCAGCATGACACAAAACAAGATTGAAATGGAAAAAAAAATTCTATAAAAGAGTGAAAAAAGATATAAGAACATAAACACATTTATATACATAAAGAAAATACAGTCAACATCTGAGTAAAATAATAGTTACACGCCACCAAATTTAAGAAGTCACCTAACAACCCTATCAAAAAATCAAATTCAAGAGAGGTAAGAGGAAAAGGTATTTAGAATTCATAGCAAGACTGTCATGACAAATTTCAGATTGTATATCAAGAGCAAGACAAGGTAGCCTACCCCATTCATGACCTGCCCTATACAAAATTATTGAAGTAACACATAGAATCAGTTGTAAAACACATAACTATTGCTTTCATGCAATTTCAATACTTCATGATACTGATATGTAGTCATTTAACTTCCAACAAAAAAATGTTATACAGCAGCAGAGAAAAAAAAAATACACCAGATTTCATGAAACATTTCTGCTACATGAAGCACAATTTAATAGGTGACCGTACACGACACAGCCAGGAAACATCAGTCAAAAGTACAACAGCTGGCAATCTACTCTTTCAAAGAAAGAAAGGTCCACCCATTATGAAATAAATTTGCCAAAAGCTACATAAAAAATTATCTTAATTTATAAACGACGGCCGCTCCTCAATATAAGCAGTAGGTCACTAGATAAGGACATTGGAAGTCCAAGGTTTCCCAAAATGGAATTTCTTATCCATGACTGTAATATACAGCAAATTTAATTCTTATGAACAAACAGGTTATACAATATAAAAGAAGATTAGAAAAACAACTCTCTAATAATATGGAGATTTCTTTAGTTCATAAATTTGAATCCAAGTTTCATATTGAGTTAAAAAGTATAGGACTTGGTATTGAACTTCAAATTCAACTTCTCATTTATTTCACAAAAGTGCGAAGTTCAAATGGTTTATTCCTGCTGTTCGTGCATAACTGATATTCTTCTTTAGCAAAGTCCTTGCCATGGATTTATCATTTATAGATGAAATTTGATAAGTTATTGCAAACCCTGTAAAAAGTAAATCACTCAGTAATTTAAAGAAAAGAAAATGGAATGCTCTGAAATGTTTTTAAAAAATGACAATCCTTTGTCTGCCAAAAAAAAAAATTTTAAAAACTCAAACATTCAATCCATCAGGTTTATTATTCAAAAGTGATAGTGATTAACACCAGCGTTAAAAAATCATATTTAACAGACAGCAACAAACATGATATACAGACATTAAAAAAAGAAGTGATGTCTCAACATCTATACTATCACAAGCACAGGACCCTATTTGCATATATTTTTTTTGCTCTGTCATTACTTAGAAATTAAAAATATTTATATGTATGGAGGTCCAGAGGTAGGCACACAATCTATACAAACTGTTGGAATTGCAATATAAATGCCTGTATCCTTGTAGAAAACAGGAACAAAAGATACTGAAAATAGCTGTAAATAGCAGCAGTTGTCACAAGAGGTTAACATCCAAAACTGGTTTCATAAATGTAACACGTCAGTGCTGGTTGAAACTATCAAGAGTGGCACAGCCATAAATAAAACAAGGGCCTTAAAACTAACAAGGATGATATCAATTACTTTTAATTCATTTTTCATGAGATTGAACCTCAAGAAGAAGATCCTTTGCCAAAAATTATTTTCTCTCAAAATCAACAAACAAAACAAAGAATTACCATCCACACCACCATATGCTTACAAAGGCATTCTGTTAGCCCCTTTCTGCACCTCTCCCTCTCTCTTTCTGTATAAACAAAGAAAAGAAAACAAGAAAAGGTAGTTTCTTAAAGCAAAAATCTGTGGTCATTACTGCAGGAATCCCCAAATCCCCAAGCATGTAATTTAAAGAATCACTGAAAAAAGTATGCGTTAATGACATTTCATAGAAAAAATAATAATCAAAACCTAACAAAATGAAATAGCGGTCAACCAGACTTTTGCTTTTTTTAGTGGCTTACAGTAACAAAATGAAATTTCATAATTCTGTGAGCCCTATGATACAAAGTACAGCTAAACAAAGCAAGTTCCTACCAACACAATACCCGATTTTTAAAAAAAGGGACACCTCTATCAAGCATGGAATGATTTTAGACAGTTTTTGTCATGGCATCTTTTAATGGAAATTAAGCCAGGAACTTTAAAAAATAATGAAGTAATCAAAAAGAACTTTGTCAGTTACATCCTGCACAAAGCAGGAGGGTGAAACAAATTCAGTGTTGTACTCAATGTTCAACACATTGCAAATATTGACAGAACTCTTAAGATTTTTAAACATCACATTTCTGATTCTATAAGAGTTAAGGTTGAAATGTAAGAGAAGCACATCAACACTAAAACAGTCATTCAGAATTTTTCTTGGGGGAAAAAAAAAAGACAAGGGACCTAACTGATGTGTCCTCCATCTTTTCACGTACCGCTTTAAAAGCATATGGTTGATGTCTGAATTAAAAACAAAATGAAAATACAAATTAAAAACTAAGCAAGAAGAGAAACCCTCTAAATTTTCCATCAGGTTGACACAAATCACCAAAAATTACACCAATTTTTTTTTTCTTTTTCAAAACAAACGTGTGCTCCTGCAATTCATTCAGACTCCCTGACTAAAGTGCATGCCCCAAGGCATATAAAATCTGTTATATAAAATTCAAATCTCACACACTGCACACATGTTTAGTTAGTTTAAATAGTAAAGAGAAAAATATTTACAAGTTATTTATGATTGTTCTTTCTTTGACTACAATCTTGTCAAGCATATACGTCCTTGGGAGGTTCTGTAAAACACTTCAGTGAAAAATCTAGTTTTTATATGTTGCAAACATACAAGTCACATCTACATCAATCCTTATTCTCAGAATGTAAGTTCAAATTCGAAAGAAAACACACACATTGACCAAGAAAGTCTGTATTTCTGTAAATGTATAAAAACATCGAACATATGTGCATAAGTTCTTCTACAAATTTAGATCAAAAAAGAGGGTGCGTTCCAGCTACATTAACCCTTTACTGCCAAGCCAGCTCCAGATTCCACCCAAACAGGCCAAAACTGGCTCAGGCCAGGCAGTCAAAGTGGTTAAAACCCTTTGTGTTGTTACAGTGCTTTAAGGCGAAGTCTTGATACAACAAAATGGCATCATTAGCTACGGTTGAGTTATTTTAAAAACAAATTCACCAACGACTATATATGAATGTATAATCCCTACAGCTATATCAGTTATGATAATACACACACACGCACACACAGTCAAAATTTTAAAAACAAAAACAGAATTTGTCAATTGAAAGCAAGAGATTGGAACTTCCTTTTATCAGCATCTGGTTTATAACACAATTTCCATCCACAGAAAAATACTTGAGGGTTTACGCTTTTGATTTGCTTCATATGTCCACCTGACCCCGTTTAATAACTTTCTAATAAAATGGCAGTATGAAACTTTTTTGAGACAAAATGTCTTGATATGAGCAAACAGTATGTATAATGATGAGTTCTTTTCAAAAACTAGAATTGAGAACCGCAGGTTATACATTGATCAAAAGGCCTTCCTCTTACAGTATACAACTGAATATATTCATACATTAATGCTTTCTAGTATAAGGAATGTTTTCGTATAAGGTCTCCCCTCAGACTTCTTCCTGTATCTTCTTTCTCCCCTCAAGATTATGTGCACTAAAGTACACTACTTTTCAAGAAAAGGAACACCATACGATTTTTAAGGAAGAGCAGGAAAGAAACAAAGGCATTCATGCAAAGGTGAGCCATAAAAAAAGAAAAGTATAAATATAGAATAAAAATCACTGGAAATGTATCTTTTCGCTGACGCTGACACAAAGATCTTTGTAACATTAGCAGCAGACCCGTTTTCAAATCTGAGCAAAAGCATTCCAGCTATCCATACAGTTCACAGCCACACAGGCATTTCAAAATTCAACTTAAAAAGAAAGAAAGAATCAACAGCAAAAACTCTCGTGCATACATATATGAGCGTGTATAAACACACACACAATCAGACACACATCCATATACCACAAGTATATAAAATAATCTGTAGAGTGAAAACAAGGAGTATATAGTAACAAAAGCATGGAAAATCACAAAGCTGAGAGTCATCCCAAAAGATCTGCTTATGATGTCTTGTTCTTGGTTTTGACCACCCCGTTCAAGGCCTTGGTGACGCCATCCTTCACTGCCTCATCGCCTCCGGACTTCACCTGGTTCGTGTCATCCTCGGACTCACTGGCAGACTCCAGGCTGCTACGAGAGTCTTTCCGCATCTGAGTGGAGAGTGATTAAAAGAAAATGAAAAATATAGAAGCCTGTCCGATCAAAATCACTTTTTTATTTAACATTGTGAAACATGTTGAAGAATTTAGATACCTGAGGAGCATATTTACGCATGATGGAAGAGTGGAACGGAAACTGAAATGAGGAACTAAAAAGCAAATGCAATAAACTACCAATTGTCACCACTACTCACCCATAAACACTTACTAATGAAAGTAAAAAGACAACTTATCAACAGCATATTCCTTGTAACACTGACATACCAATGCCAGAGCTGGCAGCTAAATACAGCACAGAAAAGGATGATACCTCCGAGATTAAATGCCTCAGTCAGAAAATTAATCAAAGTCACAAGCCAAAGACTACAACAGGAACGAAACTGTCTGCAAGTGATTTGATCACCTGATGAGAATGCCTGCCCCCCCCCCCCCCCTATCAACCAGCTGCAAGAGCATACAATGCAAGAGATAAAACAGAAACCACCCACCTAGCCTTTAACTTTAAAATTGCACGTCGCCTCGATATCTAATAATACAACATTAAGAAAAAGTAAAGTATAAACCTTGAAAAAAATATGGAGAATGAGTGAGGGTGGGAAGGTGGAGATAAAATATTAAAACCGAGAGTTAAGTGTTAAGTTAAGTCAGTGAAAATGAGATGCAACTGTATTTGTACATTTTTGGCAGCTTATTCTGGTACATAAAGTAATAAGCAACAAGACCATCAGACACATTGGAGCAAATAACCACACAACATTCAAGGCTTCGTGGTTTCAGAGGTCTACAATACCATTTAGCTTAACTGGACCTTCTATCGACTGGTAAGCACAGAAGAGAGCTGGACAGAAAACTAAGTGAGTTTGGAAAAGTAATTTCCTCTTTCTCGGCTCTTCTAAATGATCACAGCATAGGGTAAAATAAAGTGAGATATGATCAGATCATACTTTATTGTCTTTGTGGGGCCTTGTCTTTAAGATATGATAGTCCTTAGACCTGGCATTCTTCAACTGCATGATTTCTCAGCAAACCTCTTCAGAAATTTCACCGTACGTGAAAATAGAATGCTCAATTGATTTCCACTATGCTTTAAATACTTCTCGCCATTTGACGAAGGACAAAAAAATATTCTGCCATAAAATTCTTTCAGTATTTTTATCAAAACACAGCTCAAATTCTAAAACTGAGCAGCCAGCAGTCATGACGATTAGTCAGGAAGTACACATGTTTCCCTTGATGTGCTGCACTGAAGACATAATTTGGTCCATAAAGCCACAACAAGACGGTTTTCTTCCTTGGTTACAGTGCTCTATGCAAGATCTAGTTTGTGATCCACACATCTGAATATTAGTCTTGCATCATCAGAAATAAGAAAAGAGGTTAAAAAACTGAAAAACTACTACAAGACAAGGAAACTTAAAAAGATGAGATGAGAGTCAAAACGGATTTACACTATCTCCCCCTGAGCCTAAAAATGGAAATACAACAAGGTGTCCTGAAAGGAAAAAAAAATCAGGTAGAAAAGAATCCTAGCTATACCTGCTAAGAAACATAGCTAGGTCAACAACTAACCTTTAAGAAACATGCGAAGAACCTGAGGAATAAAGCCACTAAGTGTCTATGGCTACTGAAGAAATCAGGTAGCAACAACAAGGGTATCTGACAAAACAGCCTAAAGAAACCTCTTATCCAGGGGAGAGCAGATTCCTCCATGCAATATATGGAGCAGCTCTTTTCAGCATTTGCAGCTGAACAAACTAAAAAGAGTCACAACAAAACCCAAAAGTACCCATTACATTTCAAACAATGCCATAGATTTCATGAATGGAGGGACAAGTTCTACCCAAACAACAGCAAGTGAGACATATATGCTAACATGGAGCTGCTGCACTGACAATAAAGCAGCAAAGGAACTGTTTGAGAAGAGGAAAAAGAACGAGCCTCGGAAACACTAGTCACCTAACCGCAGAACACAAAACAGTCTGCACTGTACCAAGTCCACACATTTATAAACAATCACCTTCTTCCCTAAAAAAAGCATGAAATCAAACCCATCCTGAGGAACAATTCACCACAGCTGGATTTGAATATTTCACAACTAAGAATGTGTCTGAAAATCATGAGCTCATTCTTGGAAACAATAAGCTCACATTCCAATAAGCCAATCCAATTGTATAACAATGACTTGGCAGTTCAGAGTACTACAACAGGCAGTGTTTAACTGCCCAGCTGAAACTTTCAGCCAACATTCAAACATATGCATGAGCTGACCACAGCTCTTTTACAACGCTGAAAATACTGCCCTCAATCACTAAGCATTTGAAAAAAAAAAGTAAGACTTTCACTATCCAAGCCATAAGACTGTGATATACAATGACTATGCAAGTCATCTTAGGATGAATAAATAACCCAAGACAAACCAGTGCTGAAATAAACCCTGATGGACTTAAAAATCCCACCTGAGTATGCACCCAGAGGAAACCATTCTAAAAACCTACCAAGTCATCTTTTCAACGCCCAGCATGACGCTAGCCTCAGAGTATCCTGTCGTACACTCAAATGACCTTACGCAGTTGCGAGTGTCATGAAACTTTTACCAAAAGAGGATCCTATACAGTACCACTAAACTAAACAGATGACAGACAGTAAAAAATGAAACTGCAACAAAAGGCAACAGCCCACAAGATGCTGGACTGACAACAACAACAGGTCATTGTGAGCTGGTGTAGCAAGTGAACATAACATTAAGACACTTCAAGAAAATATGAGCCTATTCAAAACACAACATTCAAATTATCCTTTCTCATACATCCCCTGATTGGCGTCACTCTAAACTCAACAACATGCTTGAAAGTCAGAAAACCCAAATAAACACATCTTTCAACCTTTCAACATTAGGTTGGTTCTTAAGGAATTTTTTTTTTTTGGTAAGTGTTTTATGGCGCTTGCAACTGCATAAGGTCATACGAGCGCCCGGGACACACCAAACATTTTCAATTGGTAGTAAATTTTGAAGTTTGCGCGGGTGACGGCCGAAGCCTACTTTTATCAATTTTAGACCACCAAGGGATCTTTAACGTGCGCAACTGGCACACGGGCCCTCCGAGATTGTTCGCCCATGTCCGAGAAGGCTAGGTAAAGATCTTTCCTACCAGAAGATCAAGGGTGTGGCTGAAAGACAGCAGTAAGAAGGAGCCAAGGAGTAGCAGTAGAAAGGCTGCATTAAGAGTCCAGGAGCCCAGAGGAGGGGGAAAATGAGGTGATGGGGTGGGGGCAGAAAGAGTAGACGAAAGCAGACGACAGAATATTGCTAGATAGTAGAAAAGGAGGTGAAAGAAGACAATTTTAGAGAGGACAATTTTTCGGTCGCCACCCAGATTCAAGCCCGGGCCCTTTGAATGAGAGGCCAACTCAACATCTTAACCCCTAGGCCACGAGAGCCCCCAGTTCTTAAGGGGAGGAGCGACCTTGATTTTGCAGATTTTGGGTCAGGCTATGCAAATTTGATCTTGGCTGATTTTTGAAGATCAACCAGTTTTTTGTCTAAAAATAGCATGGAGACAATTGAGAAAGTCTTTATTCTCCTCGTAAATTGCCTTTGAAAATGAGGATGGGTTAATATAGTGAATTTTCACAATAATTGTTGTTTTTCGCAAAAAGTACTTTTTTTGCAGTTTTTTTCCTACTCCTTCCTTAGTTTCCATCCTTTTGACATGAAAATTTCAGGAAACACAGATGGCAAGGCTGCCTTCAATGTAATAGAGAGATATTTGCGAAAAAAATAACACTTTTCCATTGGCAAGCGATTACACAACCTAAATTTAGAAAAAGTTTTTCATACTTTGGGAAAATTCTTACATTTTTTTTTCTTTTGCACTTATTGAAAAAAACTTGCCGTTACTCTGATAGGCTCTGGTTCAGGTATACTCTCATCAAATTTGGTCTGTAAATAAGAAAGCCTTGGGGATTTTTAATTCATTCTTTAGATGGCAGCATTTCCATAGCAGCTGCCTTAGCTATGCTAAAATAAAATTGCGTATCAAGAGATTTTACTATGCCTAACTTACATGTGTACTTAGATTTGATCTCGGGCAACAAACATAGAAAATGATCCTCAAGGGCAGCTCCTCCCGTTAAGGAATGATAGGTCCTTATCATTCAGTTTTGTTTGGGAGAAGTAGCTTTTGGAAATACTTCACAAACAAGATTGGGAATTACGTATATCAGATGTCCAAAACACTCACTTGGAGAGTAACTAGCATTGCTGCGGCTTTACCCACGGAATGAGCTAGGAGGTACCTAAATAGAGTTTTTAACTCTTGAGAAGCCATGTTGCAAAAAAAAAACAACCCAGTAAAGAAGAAAACCTACCTGTCCTCTAACTGCATCATAAGCAATCAAAGCAATGTAGTAGAACCAGATGATATGGAGCACTTGCAGTGTGCACAAGAGGAAGTTGTAGACAACATAAATGGTAAACAGGCCATTACTTTCCTCTTCCAGGGCTGGTAATGACTCAAACATTGTAGAATAGATAATCCTGTAAAAGGGATAAAGTTGAGATGAAAAAAAAACAACACTTTTCAACAAGTATAAAAAAAAAAAACAGACCCTCTATTTGCATTACTATATACAAAAGAAATGTTACCAATCCTATTAAAAAACTATTCAAAGATAAGTCATGAAATAAATATGTTTTACAGAAGACAAAAATGAAAGCGACATAGTACAATCCTTCCATATCAAACAGAAGTGTGAAACTTCAAGGAATCCTTGAGAAACTGTGATGCATTTACAATGAAAAGAGAACCAGAACTTAAAGCAAGCAGTGATCACCAAATTTATGAAGAGTTTTGTGTCTGAAACTAAATTTCAAATCAAGTAGAAAAAAACCTCATCAATACAAATACAGTCAAAACTGTTCAAGACAACCACCCGTTGTTAAAAGAAAAAGTGGTTGTCTTTGACAGGTAGACCTTCTGGGCAGGATAGATGAAAATAAAGAAAACAAACAAATTTTCTTTTGAGACCTCAACCGAAAGTGGTCTCAGGCTTAAGACTGCCATAAAGCCCGTAACAATGGCTTTTTAAGGTAGATTGGAAAGGAAAGTTTGGGGTTGTGCAAGGTGTGGTTGGATCAGTGTGTGTTTGTGAGTGTGTAAATGAGGATATGTGAGTGTATGAAAAGAAATGTTGACAGTTTGGGGGGGGGGGGGGGGAGAACGTTACAATTAAAAAGATGTGTGATAAAATCATATGGGTAAACAAGTGAAACTTTTGTTGCACGTTCATGTTGATACCTATTGTTACCGACTGGGTAAATAGAGTATCCACTAATCTCACTTATAATTCATGGGAGGTCAACGGATGGATCAGTTATGGGAGGGGCTGGTGGATTATGATAGTTCACATGCCATATTTATCAACAGCTGTAAAACTTGTTACTGACTGGTCAACTTGGTTAACCAGTGGGAGTGACCAGTAATTTTGCCTACACAGCATACTGGTTAGTCAGCCGTTCTTTTTTAGGAGGGGATAACAATAATGACAGGAGAATGGCGTGATTGTACAGGTGGTTGTCTTGGTCAGGTTTGACCGCATTTTACAAAAATTTTCTATTGGGCTATTTTTATATGTTTTTCCAAATGCGTGCGAGAAATAAGGACAGCCGGTTTACAAATCATCAGCTTGCCATAATCTGTAACACAGTAGAGTCATCAAAATCACATTTCAGAAACATGAAATGTTAAAGAAAATCAGGTCAGTCTTATCTTCTGTCTCAAATAGGTTTATTGATTATAATCATTGACATCTTTGGTTTGCTAAAAGATGTATGCATGTGAAACATAAAAAAAAAAAAAAAGTTTCCCACTTTTCCCCCCTATTCCCTTTGCATTTGTTACCTACAAAATTAGCTCAATGGGGAAACCTGCTGAAATCATTTAAGTACCAGGCATTTCAGTAAAAAATAAGGACAAGGGCAACATCATTGCTGAAACGGTGATGTAAAAAGAACATTGTAAGTGAGAAGCGTGACAAGCAGGGCATGCTGTGTAAGCCAACATCATCTAAGGTTGAGTATCACTGCCGTGCTACACACTAATCTTTGCACCAAGTTCCAAAGCTTGATCTAAGCCAAAGTGTACTTGTGACTGACCACAAAAAGGCTTTGAATCTAGACTGACCAAACAAAAGTGAAATGACTTACCATTTTATATCTAATGCACAGACATTCAAATAGTGGTTAAGTCAAGCAAGATGATCTAGACAACTTCAAAGTATGCACAAACTTACCTGCAGATGGTACTACAATCACAATCTCTTATTATAAAACCCTGGATAAATCTTGGAAACAAGGCACTAACAGATATAAAACTATAATAAAAAGAGACATGAAACCAAAATAAATAGGGCTGTGATTATGAGTAATACTTTCTTTACAGAAATTTTAGCATAAAAAAGTTATTTAGCCGCACAAACTTTTGGCACCATTCACAATCACAGCCCCTGCTAAAACAACACATTTTTTACAAAATCAACCAGAATATGAAAATCCCCGCACAGCCAAAAGATTGACCAACCTGAATGGGAAAATGGTCATTCTGGTAATGACCCACACTACCATGAACGTGAAGAACAAGATCTCACATGCTTTGTCCTGGCCTATGTATTTAGCAACCTTCGCCGCCTGGAAAAATTGAAGTGCATGACAAAAATAAACTAGAAAATACTGTTTGGCTTGGTTTGAGTTTGACATTAATTGACGAAAAGATATTTTCAAAATGACTCAATCCAGATGTTGAAGTAAAGGAAGAGGTAAAGAAAGAAGACAATACATTTAGAAAATACTGCACATGCAAATCTGTAAGACAATCAGGTATGTTAGTTCCACAATGGAAATGTCCCACCTGAATTGGGAAGGAGGGTGGGAAGTTTCATAGCTGCTGCCAAGGAAAAAATTATTAAATTGCAACAACCTGCACTCTCTGTTCTGTGACAACTACTTTACTGTATTAAAAGGATGACTCCAAACTAATAAGGAAAAACATCTCCAAACATTGCAAGTGATTAAGTTTTTCATTTCGTGACAATTTCAGAAGGCCTGAAACACTCTTTGGAAAACAAGGCAATAGTGTAAACAGTACGATACAGGAACACTTTGCTCTTGTAATGAACAAGTACTCAGCTGATATTGATGCTACCAGATCAAATGACACACTGATGTTCTACAATTTTTTAAAAATAAATCGGAGACACTTCATTTGAGAAGAATTCAAATTACCAAATCATAGTTATTCCTAGCATAACTGTAAAATATGTGTCACAAAGGCACAACCACAAATAATGCATATGTGTCATGACACGCTGAAATCAGACGCTTGTCACTTATGGGGCCTACAGAGTTATTCATTTGCCTAGCTTTAATGGAAAAAAAAATCCACCCATCTATCTTGAATACAAGCCTGGATCTTTGTGACTGGAGGAGGTGAGGGTCACCTGGTGTCTGAGGTATATTTGCGAGAAAATGCCACCAAAGTTTAGTGACTTCCAAAGCTGTAGTATCCTTTGAAACTGCAAATTTACAAATTTTTTGTGGCTTCGATCAACATGAACAATTCAAGCTACTTTCGAGCAGGGTGAATATTGTCAAAGCTGATGAGCAGTCAATTGATGACATAGAGACATATCACACAGCCAAGCTTTAACAGCTTCATCAACATTGCTCTGAACTTCGTAAATGAGAGCTTTTCTCAGGATCTATAATTATTTTGAGCCGAAATCGATAGTGTCACACTTAGTGATGGTAAATAAAAGCAATGTACATTTCAGAAGTAATTTGTTTTGGAGATGAACAGTATTAGCATTCTTACTATTACATCATTGTTTTACAAATTCAGAGTTTGTTGTTGAGTACTGTTAAGTAAAAAGGAGCACATTAACACGAGAATCATTGTTTAGTGCTGACAATGTTCAGAGCAATGTGGGCCAAAACTATTAAAGCTGGTCTCTGTCAAGTGCTTCTGTGTCATCCGTTAATTGATAATCAGTTACCAGACTGCATACTTCAAATTTTCCTTTGCAGGTACATTCACCATCAATTTCAGGTATTTAGTATCTGATTAAAATCAGGTAGCTCAAAGAGAAAAGGAAAAGAAGACGAATATTATCTGAGTACTTAACATTGAGAGGACCTTGCTTCTAGTAATATCATTAGGTTAAAAAATGACATTTTCAAAACTTGTGTGTCTGTGAAAGTGCATGTATGTGTAATTGGGTGTGAATATGTGAAGGTGAACAATGTTGATGAAACGAGATGTGTTAATATTTTTTTTTTTAACAGAAAAAAAAGGAAAATGGACTGTTGTTCAAGACACCTATCAATCAGTATTGAATCTGGATTTGAGCACAGGGTGATAGTCAAACTGACTTAACATTCTTCTATTATGTGTACTAATAAAGACTACATTAAAAGATATTTCTTTACCCTGGGAAACTTAGTACTGATTTTTAAAAATGCTAAATCACGGACCGTTTTCATCGCCCATGTTTTCATTCAGTGACAAGCTATCATGGTGCATTCATACAAGACTAACATGGGCGCACAACACTGCACAGCTCTCTAATCACAGAATCTGGTCCCCAGATCTTATCCTCTGGGGTAATGCATCTAGCAGTTCAAGTGCTTCTAAAAAGGTTTTGTCCCCCGAAAACGTGTCCTTCACCATTGTTAAGAGTCAAAAGACGCTTCAGTGAACAGAATATACCAGAAATCAAATATTCATCCTGCCCAGGTTTTAAAACACACATAGAGTTTCCAAAAAAAGAGTTTTACATAAAAGACACACAATTACGCTGTAACTCAAATTTAGTCCATTTCAAGCTTGTAGAAATGAGAAAGGTATCAAAAGAAATTGGGGGCTTCTTAGATTTGAAAAACATTTTAAAGAAACACACCAACATACTTCCCTAATACTAGATATAACAAACAAAAAACATGCACATAAATTAATTTGACACTGGTATTTTGAAAAAGTAGAATTACTTATCAGCCTTCAAAGTACAACGCTAGATAAATTTTCAAACATGATGCAAGCTTTCATACAAACAAAGACAAATTGCTGGTTAGCAAAGAAGCCATACCCTACAGCAGCAATTTTCAGTCCATTCTAACTTTCAGCATGCTGAATGCAGAACTTTACGATTCAAGTTTTTCTCAATAGATTAATTCATGTAGTATAAAGACGTGTGAAAGCTCACTATTATCTAAACACTTTTTGCAGTATTCAACAGTATGGCAAAAAGGTCATCATCAATGCTGCAAATACATCAAAAGGAGGACAAAGTTTTTACTCATATCTTTCATGCCATCCCACAAAATGAAACTGACATAACTGTATGGTTGTTGTGCATGGACAGGTCTTTTTGTAGAGTTCAAAATATGTTCATCTTTACAATTAAGATTAAAAAAATAACTGAATGTGCAGCAGAAAGGGTCTAATATTTATCACTCAGCACTTCTGTTTCCCCTCTAACAACCCTGAGACTGAAGCAAATCCTTCATGACATTGTGACTGAAACATCTGTTCTGCAGTAAAAAGTTCCAAGCTGCTGCCTTGGTGGTACTTGTAGAACATGATAAAGGGTAAGGTATGGTGTTTGAGTATACCTTCCAGGTTAAACTGTCTTATAGATTGGTGATGTGAAAACTTAATAAAGTGATACAAAAATCCTAAATGCATGATTTGTTTAAAAAACCCAAACCAGTACTGAGAAGAAAAAAGTATGAAAGAGTCACCATTCTAAAAAAATGAAAAACAGATCAAACATGCAACCCACCTCCAATGATGAATCCACTGCATCGTGTACTAAGAGGACCAGAGTTCCAATCCGCACGAAATTGTTCACCCAGGACAGAGTCATCAGTGTCAGAGTTGCCACATGATGGACAACCATCTCTACAAAGTCCTACAATGAGAGTGACACAATTTGTATATCAAAATCATTAAAACTGCTACATCAAGCACAACACTAGGGAACCCAACTCAAAACAAACACAAAAGAAACCCTTCTTACCTCAAAAAACATTTTGATTTAGAGTAAAGAATAGCATCAAAGATCAAACACTTTAAAAATTTGAACAGCTACTTTAAGTAAATATCAAGTCCATAAAGTTGTGTGATTAACTTCAGCCATTTTCGTTCTTACTCAGAATGATTCATCTCCACTCTTTCAGCCCTCTCCATCCAAGCAGAAATAGCTAGACTAAAACATTAACCAATCAATACTGAATAAAGCTCAGTACAGAAAAACATTCACCAATCAATACCACTAAAGTCTCTCTACAAGAAAACAATTTTCATCTTCACTTGTGTCTGCACCTCTCTTATTTCCTTTCCTATACTCATTATCATCTCTGTTTGATGGTTCATCATCACTATCATCTACAAATAGACCTAAATCTGACCGTTTATTGACGAATGGGTCCATCAATTCAAATGTTCCGACCTCGTTGAGACGTCGTCGCCATCGTAACTGAGCATTAGTAGTTTTTAGTTCGTTTCGGGTGAGTTAGAAAAAGTCCTATTTTTAAGTAGCTTATTCAAGGGAAGTTACTGCAACAATGTGGAATCGAAACCAAACTGGCTTCTTATGTCCCCTACTTCCGACTGCCAAGCCGGAAACGTGTCGGGGAATGTTAGAAAAATAGTAGTAAAAACGCTCCCGCCGGGTTTCGGGTTTGGCAGGCAGCGGTCTACGCAGATCACCCGACAGGGTTCGGGCATGGCAGTGAGTGAGTTAAGAAGTGGGACCTTGAATTCCCTTCTGGGGGTGGGGGCGCCAGAAAGTGGTCAATTATACAGGTGCTTATCTGGGACAAGTGGCAGTTGGAGTAGGTTTGATTGTACATTAACTGAAAGGATTGTAAATCACTTTAACAAACCTTTCTTTTGTGATCCGTGAAGAGTGAGAAGAGCAGACTGAGGTAAAAAGCTCCTTCAACCATGTAATACCAGTAGATATCATCTGAGATATGCTGTGGAAAGCAGAGATCAGACTAGAGTTTACAAACAAATACAATCTCCGCGAAAAAAGGTATTACAATATAAACGACCATTGTGGCCCTAATGTGCATGGCTCCAGCTATTTCCTAAATAGTCCACAGACTTCTTTCAGATTTTCTTTTAAGCTTCTGATATGATCCCACAGAAAGACAATGTAACTTCCCAAGAAATGTACTAATTATTATGCAATGGACAATGAACAAAAACATGCTATACCCACATTTTACCTAACCTGTATTTCAAATAGTCAAGTTCATTATCTTATTGAACCAAAACTAGATCAATTAATTGAAGCACTTATTTCAACTCAGAATGTTCTATACCATAAAACAAAAATAAGTTTGAATTTCACATAAAGAATGGTCAAATTCAGGGTTAAGATATTGCTTATTGCTCATGTATTACGCAAATCTTTATTTTTATCATTATTACTGCACCCTTTAGCCCCTTTGTTGACAGGGAGTGTGCATAACTCCTGCTAGCACTGACTTTCAGCTAAGCAGAGTCTGACAACCAAACAGGGAACCATATGCTACAAGCCTGCCAGATGATTGAAGCACTTGGAAATGTTGGCCAAACCTTCGGCAGAGAGACCCAAAGCTCTATGGGGGCTCTGAGGACTTGCAACAAACAGCAGCCTTTGCACCAGAGACTGAAATGTCCATTTAGAGATAAACGAGAAGAAAAAGCTGTGTCCATTAAACATGACAGCAGTCTCATGTCTCAGTGGTAGTGGACTCACTGTTTAGCCCACTTCAGACATAATATATTCAGATTCTGGGTCTTCGATAGTGCCACTTTCTTAATTCCCTACATTCCTAATCTTACTCATAATTTTGAAAAACTTGCAAATCTTAGTCAAAATTGCAGCCTATTTAAGTCACTTTGGTGTTAAGGTTTTACGAGAACATGCATTTGCCCGCAACACTAGACCTGTATTTATTGATCACTTGCAAGCCTAGCACTAAACTCCAACTAACACATTTGGTGCTGATATGTGTATTTTGTATTCCCAAATATGAATTCACAGTGTGCTTGTTGCTACATCTCTGTACAGAAGAATTTGAGCCAGATGATAGAATCCTAGATTTATTTTTATGATATAATACAACAAGAAAGTATAAAAATTGCCTTTGAATTAGACTACAGCCGAAGAGATTAACAATATAATTATTGTAGAAAAAAACAAAGGGTTCAAATTCATTACCATATCACTAAGACAAGATACTAAAATGATAAAGATTGATTTCAGAAAAAAATTAAGTGTGCTTACGTGTTCAGGCCATCCTTTCCAGCAATGTATCGTCTCATAAAACCATGGTTTCTGTCAACAACAAAAATATAATCGGTTGGAGTACATCTCCTTTATGTTCATGTAAACATAACAACGCTTACCAATCTAACAAGACTAGTGAATGGCGCTCATGAGATTTGTGCTGGAATCTTTATCTTTGGAAAATGAGCTGTCGCTGTAAGGGCTGCCAACCTACCAGCATATGTTTTGGTAATCAACAAATAGAAAATTTGTAACCTGGCTTTTTAAAATTTGTAATAAAGCCATGAATAGTCTTCTTCCCTTGGGTGTTTAAGACAGGAGTTGAGGTCAAGTATAAATACAACGTAAACAAAGGCATGATGAAAAGTTTTGCCAGGCTTGTCATTGAGGAGTTAAAAAAAAAAAAAGAGGGTGGGAAGGGGGATGGGGGAGAGATACTGCTTTTAAATACAGAAGAAACTTTTAGAACTACAGAATATGCACCATCCACAGTGGCTAGCAGTTTCAAGTTTCAAACATTGATCTATTTTTGGCCTAGACTGTCACCCACAACAAAAAAGGGCAGGAATTTTTCTCATACCTTGTCAACCTAATGTTTGTCGTACCTCTGGTTCTGGCATTTATAAAGTCTAATCAAATGATTTTATAAGGGCAAAGTGGCACTCAGTGACTACAAGGCTAATGCAGTGCAGTCTAGATTATCTAGCCAGCACTGGCTCAATGTGTTAAAATTAGACAGCTGCACATAACGCAGTGGCATAGACTGTTCGGGCCTGGTAGTTAAAAATTTCCTTCCCTTACACCACCTGGAAGGTTGACATCGGATTGAGGTGACAAAATGTTTACAAATCAGAATCATGGGTATAACAATCACAACTTCGTAAAATCATAACGATTTCGCCAAATTCGTAATGATGGGCAGCCCTACCCTTATGCTTTGAAAGCTGTTGTGAAAATCTAAAAACAATAACTGACATTTGTGAATAGGGATCACGCAAAAGACCTTACATTTGTGAGTTTGTCATTTAAAGCACAGGACAAGAACACTCCTCATTTATATTGTTTCGTCCATCCTCTTCTCTGGTTCTTAACTCACAATTTTCTCTTGCCATGTCATGTTTCCCTCCTGTGTCCTTATGTAAGCAACTATATGATACAAGTACAGTAGTCTCCGCCTAAGATCCCGGTGCTCGTGAGCAAGGAAACGCGGGATCTTAGGCGAACCGGGATCTTAACCGACGAACCCAGGAAAGAATCTATGTTGACCCATGTTAAGGCTCACAATTGGTAAAATGGTCTCCCTCCACTCTACAATGAGCTGACGTGCCCCCTTGTGGGTTTATGGCATATGGCGAGCAAAGAGTGGTTAACCTTGATGACCTATCACGGTGCATAGTGGGATGAGGCGAGCCATTTTCACTTATTATCCTATCATGAGTCTCAGGATCTACGATTATCCAGTTGCCCCTCCTCTTTGCCTGTCAAAAATTTATAGCTTTCCATCTCTGACCGAGCCCCCCCTCCAAACCGCCTTTGTCGTTACACACCATTACGTTGTGAACGCACCAATTAAAATTCAGTCTGTCTCACAAATTCAGGAGTAGAGACAACTCCTGCAATGGTCAAGGAGGAGTTCACGGTTCGATATGATTCCGCCAGGAGTGAACTTGTAGGCCCTACCCACCCAGCGAGTGATGCAAGCTTAGGTGGCAAGCTCAGGTGTGAGTGCGATGCGTGGGGAAAACAAACGCGTCTGTCAGTTCACACCCCGGTGTGATCCCGTCTGGGGCAAACATTGTATCGCTTCATCGAGTTTTACAACATGTATGTGATCACATTCACGATAGTGGCTGATCTCTGACGCGACGGACAGTTTATTGATCTCAACTTTTTACTCTTGGTTGATCTGCTGTGCCCACCCGGGGTTTTTTTTTATAGCAAATTATGATCTGAAATGCGGGATCTTAGCCGAATGTAGACCATCAGAGCGGGATCTTAGGGGTGACTTTTGTATAGTAAACATTCTGTTTTCCTAAAACAACGGGATCTTTAGCGAACCGGGATCATAAGCGGTGGGATCTTAGGCGGAGACTACTGTACTACTCAATGGTTTAGTAAAACATTAGTTTTCAGCTTATTATCTGAAACTGCACTAGGCTACAAGCTGCATTACTAAACAATGTAGCATGCTTTAAAATGTAACATGTTTTTATGTTACTATCCATAACAGGGCTTTGAATACTTTGCTCTCACTCAAAAAATAGGAGGCAAACAAGGCAGGGGCAGATCCAGAGAAACATACTTGGAAAACATGAACTGATGGGCAATGCGGAAACACAACCATAATGTGGGGTTTTTGAGAGCATCTGACCGAGAAAAAGAATGGAGAACCATGATCTCCGAGGTTTGCTTCAAATATGACACTTGATAGTGATGATGATGATGAAACAAACCAGATAAAAATCGACTTGCCTCATGAACATATACACACAATCTAATTAGCCATTGAAACACTACTGGGCTCAAATTGAAAGACAAACTTACAAATACAGCTTTGATAATTACTGATATTTAAAAGCCAATTACAAAATCTGATAACAGCTAAAATTAAAGCAATATTTTAATAAAATGGGGCATATATCCAAATATGTAGATGGGAGCCACGAGAGGGAGAGAGAGAGAGAGAGATAACAGCTAAAATTAAAGCAATATTTTAATAAAATGGGGCATATATCCAAATATGTAGATGGGAGCCAGCAGTAAGGGCCGGAAAAAAGAGGAATTTTGGGGGATATTTTAAACTAACAAAAATGTAGCAAAATATAATTCGGTGTACTTACATCCAGGTGTATCCATACACCCCACCAGAAAATAAAGAAATAAAAGAGGCCTCTCCATCTGAAAATTTTGGAATGAAGGTGTGTTAAAAAGTGAATCAGAAAGTTTGAAGAACCATACTAAAAGCAACATTTCAGTTTCCCAATCTTCAACTTAAGATACAGAGACATCATGGAATCCCAGAGAAGTTGGCGCACCTCACCAAGAGCATGTATGAAGGGACAAGTTGTAGGGTTGTACATGACGGCCAGCTCACTGACAGCTTTGATATCAAGACTGGTGTGAGACAGAGATGTCAAATATCACCTTTCCTCTTCATCTTGGCAATCGATTAGCTCATGAAGGATACCATCAGAGGACACAGAAATGGTACACAGTGGACCCCATGGACACAGTTAAACAATCAGGACTTTGCAGATGACCTGGCGCTTCTGTCCCACACACAGGAACATATGCAAGCAAATACCTCAGTTCTAAACAGCTTATCAGAGTATGCTGGCTTGGGGATCCACCCCAGAAAGACGAAGGTCCCAAGTATAGATGCACAACGAAAGGAGCAGGTCACAATAGAAGCAAACGCACCGTAGCTCGTTCACTTTCGTCTGACCGCGCTTAAAACAGGATAAAAACAAAACGCTCTGTTTAATCTTTCTGGGTCTTTGCATGCGGGTCTAAAAGTTAAGAGACCAACAGAATCTAAAAGCCCATTTATAAAAGTCACTGCAAACTAAGGTTCCAAAACATTTTCTTCAATGCAAGCCTAAAGCAGGCCAAAAAAATAATACGAGATTTACATCACAAACCTAAAACATCTAAAAGTTGACATATTTTCCTCAACACCACTCTTTAGCGTTTCCCTGGGAAACACAATTCAAGAGACATGGTGAGTATTTTTCGAGACTCAAGCGGAGACATCTAGAAAGCCCGGGTGGGGGGGGAATCTACAAGCTTACACTGAAATGTGGGGTCAGGGCGGTGTCGCTGTCTCAAAATGATAATAGAGGACCAAAAGAGAAAAACTTTTTTTTATTGAGTCAAGATTTTTTAAAAAATATTTATGTTTGGTCGCTGGCCTGCAAAAGTGCCATGCAAAGTTTTGTGAGCATAGGTAAATACCTCAAAGAGCTAGAATTTTTTTAAGCCGCAAGACGAAAGTGAACAAGTTATAGAAGACATTGAATCTTTCTGCTATCTTGGGAGAATAATTGACAGAGAGGGAGGAACAGTTGCTTTAATAAAGACCCAAATCGAAACGGCACAGGCAGCTTTTGTATCTTTGAATAGGATTTGGAGGACCAGGGATATCTCATTTCGAACAAAGCTTCACTTGCTTCCCTACTTTAGCAATATAGTCATTGCAATAGTTCAAATTGTCTTGAGAGCATTATTGACATAGAGAGAGGAACAGGTGTAGAAATAAAGTCTCGCATTGGAAAAGCACAGGCTGCTTTCATATCTTTGGATACCAGAGATATCTCATTTCGAACAAAGCTGAGGATTTCAATTAAAAAGTGAAGTTAGTCCTGTTGTGTGGATGTGAGACATGGAACGCATCACAGACTTGCGTAAAGAGGAACCAGGTTTTCTTGAACAAGTGTCTAAGAAAGTTACTGAGGACCAGATGGACAGACAGGGTCACCAACGAGGAAGTGTTAAAGAAAACAAGGCAGATCTCAGTCAGAGATGAGGTAGGAAGAAGGCAGTGGCGATGGATTGGACATGCTCTCAGGAAGTCAGGCAGCTGCATAACAAAGAAAGTGTTGGATTGGAACCCACAAGGTAAGAGATCAAGGGGAAGACCGCATGGAACCTGGAGAAGAATCACAGAAATTGATGTACAGAAAAGTGGGAAGACATGGAATAACATCAAGTGGCTAGCCCAGTATAGAGAAAGGTGGAAAGCGTTTGTCCGAGACCTACACCCTGGTGCAGGGTGAGAAAAGCAATGATGATGATGATGAAAGGCTCAAATAGGCAGAATCAAATGCTACACATAAAAATATAGTAATCCTTTCATTTCAGTAGAGGTACAAAAATATAAGGCAAGCAAAAATTCAATCAGACATGGTTGGAACTGTGAAACAACAAGTTCATTGACAGCCTTTGAAATGTAATTGACAGACAGCTTGATAATACAGCATAACATGCAAATATAATCATAATAGCACACCAAGGAAGTCACATCTTACTGGTAACATATGTGCAAAATATTTACTCAAGTAGGGTGACAAGTGTATAGGAGAATTTGATCTGGGTGCGGCAAAAAGTTAATTATCATATCTAGCCTGGGAAACCGCATAATAATTAGACTTGAATAATAAATAGAGCATAATGAGAAATACCCTGTCAAAGCTAGTTCATTTACATTTTACATGAATAAAATTACATCACAAACACAGCTGCCCTTAAAAAAGGTTGAATTTGAGAAACATAATAAGATCAAAATATTGCAACTACAACTAGACTTCAAACTACAAAGACAAGGAGAGAAAACATAGGAAAATCTATTTTTTTTCAATAACGAAACAAAACCTGGAAAAGAATCCGCTACACAAATTTTAATTCTTATTTCTAATGATGATATTTACTGTTTTAGCTCTTATGTGTCACAGCACCACTGTGCACAGTTAAAGATATGTGGATAACTTGAGCTAAAAGACTAGTGAGTGGGTATTTTTTCACAGTAAATAACAGAAAAAAAATTGAGGCTTTTTCAAAGTAGTTAATTCAATACTCACGACGACTCCACAAATTTCTTGAAAACTGGTGTTCTGTCTTGATTTCTCCTCACCCTGAACCATCGCTCAACTTGGCGCGTTGTCAAATCTGTTTGCTTGGCTAGACCCTGTCCAAAAAAGTATAATGTTACACAAACTTTGGTTGGAATCATTCTGCCTGAATTCTTTTTAAAAATCTAAATATTAAACAAAGATCTGAACTTTCTACTTCAATAATAAAAAACAAACAAACAAACAAAAAAGCAAAAATGTAATATAAACACCCCCACCCCCCTCCAATGTCCTACATTAATCATTATTTTTCATGCAAAATACACTCAAACACCTAGAACTTTACAGTCTTATCGTCTGGTCTCCATGGACAGCTATGGCAAATTATACTTTACTTAGTTTATCATGTTTTCAAAATAAATCATTTTACTATTCATACAGAAGTTGAGGGGAAATGAACTCGAAGGGAGCCACTACAATAATCATATTTCTCCCAGAACAGATTACAATTACATTAACACTGAAAAGAAATACACAGAGCACACCATGCCTTAGTGCCCACACAAAAGTATTCATAAAAGAAGTAGAGACCGAAAAATGGGTCCAAATCTGACAGTGAAAAAACAAATTAATGCCAAGGCAATAGAGTGCGAATAAATAAAATATCTAAACAGGAATGGGTATCCCTGAATTTACTTGAAAACAGTACCAAACTGAGGTACCCAACAGTAAGAATATCTTCACTTGCACCTCTTTATCATTTTTTTTCAATGTTTTAACTTCATGTGTACATCCTTCTACATAAAATAAACAGGTTAGAAGCTACAAGAGCTTCAACAATCTTTTACATCTTCATCATTATAAAATCTCAGTTCTAAAAAAGTGCTTAAAAACCTAACTTGTTGCAGTAAAACAGCAAAATATCAAATCCCAGTGCTTCATTATTCCCACACATGGTGCACAGAGACATTTCTAAAAGACAATAAAGCCACACTCTACATTCTAGCAAAGCACATGTTCCTTTTTTTCTGAATAGACATGAGTATGTGACCTTCTCTCTTTTCTTCTCATGCTGACATGTTTCACTTTTCATCTTCAACATAAATTATGTATATTTCTTATTGTCACACAGTAGTAAATTTCTATTGTCCCTTTATTTTCATGAATTATAAAATACTCACAATGGCCTTTTCCTTAACACATTCAGCTATTAAACCTACAGCCATTAAACTTATATATAAAGCAAAACTGGTTGCCCACACAACACCAAAAAGTTACACAAACCTGAATGATATCATTGGAAGGAGACTTGCTCACTCTATAGGCATTTTCAAGATGAGGATTCGGAGTGGCTTTTTTTACCACAGCCTTCAGTCCCAGTGCATGTCCAATGCTTCCAAATACATAGCTGAAAGAAATGAAAAGGAATACTGTATATTCAGCCTTGTATTACATTAGCATAGCAGCTGCAGGAATACAAAATATTTATTAAAATATGCAAAACAAATTCACACTCCATTGTATTCATGAAATTTTATCCCCCAGGTACATCTCAAAACATTCATATCATAATGAAAGTCCGTGCTTGATGTAAAATACTGCAGTGCAGAGGAGAAAAAAAGAAAACTAAAAGCCATTAGACTAGACAACTGAATGTTCTCAAAACAGAGCTCAAAAGGAGCACTATAGCCTCTACAAGTTTAAATGCAGTAGACGTGCACAGCCGTTTTTCCCCTTACACTTACAGGGTTTTTTATCTCTATTTTCAATAGTTTTCCATAACTATTTATTCAGGCCAAATTCATCTTTAGCTTCCACAAAACATCAGCTCAATAAAGGCTGAAAAGTCTACTTTTTTTCACTCCGAGTTGACAAGTAGGTCAACAGCTTCTGATATAGACAAAAGGTGACTGCCGCATATGTGTGTGGGTGTGTTGTCAAATCATTGACTCGGCTTCGGGATAGAGAAGTGGGAAAATGATTTTTGCCAGAAGTACACCACCTACATTTTAAACCTTATGCAAATCCCTGAAATGAAATTTTAAAGAGTAACGCTCACGAACTACCAAAACTTAAAGGGGGTAATCTGCAGGTTTAATGTGTAATATACGCATCTGGTCATAATGGGGAGCCCTGCATACTCCATTAAGGTCACCGAGCGTTTAGGTGGAGACTACTGTACAGTCCTCTTACTGTCCACTCAACGCACACGGCCGGTCAGTTTTCGTTATTGCGATTGTCTTTACACCTTGTACCCCTTTGTCTTTTTTTCCACTGGCAATGCCACAATTTCATTTTCAAAGAGGGCATGCGGTATTTGCTTCGTTTCCATCAGTTCCCAGTTCCAAGTGAAATAAGTCATTAATGGCTGATCTGTTGCTGAAACAAGCAAACGACCGATCAGGCAGAGTTTGCAGTTTGAAACACCCACTTGCAGAGAGTGATAATAGTTTTATAGGCTTTTATATTATGCAAAATTTTGGACGCTTTTTTAGTAGTTCCCACCCCTCTTATTTTGGCCTATTTTATTCGAAATTCGCAAATTTGAACTCCATTTTGTATTTGAGTAGTAAATCTAGGTAAAAATACAAGATCGAGATAATTGATTTGTCAAAATTACATAATTAAACACTACACCCAGGCCCAGTGTTGTTAATTTTACTATAACAAAGAAGTGTTTAACAAGTAATTTTGGTTCATGTATGTAGTACTAAAAGAGATTTATAAGTCGAAATCTCTTCAAATATTCAATCAAGGCCGATATCGGTAAAGTTTTAACTCGATTATTATTCCCGAAACAGGAAAATCAGCGAATAATAATTGGGGGGATGGAAACTACAGAAAAAGTGCCAAATTTGGTTCTGCACTGCCTGCATGATTATGATACTCTATAGAGATGCCTGAAAGGACAGATCGTGGATTTACGAGTTATGCAGTGCACTTTTAGCCAGCGACCAGTATTCATATAACACTACATGATTAAGAAATCTACACATGACGTTCTGTCTTCACTGCTGCGACAACGAAACAGTCCAAAAAAGGCTGGCAAAGGGAGAAAATTCATCCTGCAAAATCGTGAGGAAGACCAAGTAACTTTTATGCCCCCCTTTAACTAAAAATAATGGGTCGGGTCACTTTGTGCCCCGGACTGTCCCGGACTACCCCGGACTGCCCCAGACTATTCCAAACTGTCCTGAGGCGTGATTTACTTTCAATGTTAATTTTCTGTTAGGTTAGGGGAATGCCCCTAAAATTGATGTTTATTATTGATGTCTATTTTCTGTTAGTAGTTTAGTTTTTTTTCTTCTTTTTATTCTTTTGAGTAAAGAGAGAAGCACATCAGCACAACAATTGTCATTTATGAGAAAAAGCAAGAGAGACAGACAGAAACAACAAAGGGAAAATAAAGAAGTAGGACACACCAGTTCACAAGAGAGTGACAAACATACAAAAGAGGGAGGGAGGGAGAGGGGGAGAGAGAGAGAGAGAGAGAGAGAGAGAG